GAGTTGTTTCACTGAATAAACTTATGCCTCCGTACCCTGAACATGGGTTGACGTTTTTATCTTGCGCTGGATGAATTCGCAAAATCATTTTCGGTTTTCTTAAACATTTACAGGTAGATTTCAACTTCACAGTAACTTTAGACTCGTCGTTGACCTGCTGACGTTCTACAAGTAGTGATTGTTATCCCGTGCAGTTCATCTGTGTCAAACACAACCACTGAAGCACAACATGAGGCAACTATTCTTTAATGACATATAAAGTCATGACGCATTACAAGATATAAACTTCTACAAATGCTGAAAAACTCTGGGAGACGAGGTAGAACCGGTAACCACGCAACACAGCGTAGGTAATTGTCACTGATAGCCCTGCACGATATATGATACGCACCTGCTGCAGATAAAGTATTGTCAGTTCACTATTACAGCAGGTTCAGGCGGTTTTGTAGATCGTGAGTTGTTAGAGCCCGTGAAAGCCACGTGTAAGAAAAAAAGAGTTGAAAATGTTGTGGCTCTCCCGGCAATGGTGATGGTTGAGTGATCGTGTGAATGTGGCTCTCCCGACAATGCGCTATTAGCTAATCCATGTTACCGTAAATAATGTGAAATATTCATTATGTAAAATCTAGAAATACCGTTGAATTGTTCGTGGAGAATTTCGGAGCCATTATGCGCCGTCAACAGGTGCCTGTCCCAAAGACTCCAGCAAGTCTGAAAGACTCAAGGACACCGGACTACAACAGGGGCATCAGAGCCAGAGCCTTTCCTCATCCATGACAGTGGTTCCGAATCCAGCAATCGAGTTGTTGTCTATGCCACTTCTAAAGCCTTGCTGCACCTCGCTCATGCCAAAACCTGGTTCATGGATGGAACGTTCGATTCAGCTCCATCTGTGTCAGCAGCTGTTCAGTATCCGAGCTCCATCGGGCAACAGTGCTATCACCTGTGCATATGGATGTCTTACCGGCAAGTCCCAAGCCTTGTATGAAGAACTTTGTATGAAGAACTTGTCCGAGCTATCACCAACAAGTGCCAGGAACTTGGATTTGATACTGACCCATCAGTGATAGTTTCTGACTTTGAGCAAGGCATCCTACGAGATTTAACTTCTGTGTTTGGTGATCACGTTAGGCTGTAGGGCTGCTTCTACCACCTGACACACAGCGCATGGCGCAAACCCCAGAATTTGGGACTATCTTCACTGTACAAAGAAGACGATGATATCTGTAAATTCTCTGCTATGCTCGACGCTCTGGCCTCCTCACCAGCTGAAGGTGTTGTTGCTGGCATGAACTACACATCTGTGCATAAAATAAGCCCCACCCTGTATTTTTACAAATTTATTTTGTCTGAAATGAAATTCTTAACTCTTTCCAAAAATAAGCCAAGCCTTTATAATTTGATAAGCCAAGCATTTAACATTTCAAAAACGAAAACATCATTGAAATTACCATGTATTTTAATTAGGATAATTGGCTATATTTAAAACAGGTGTTTTTCTGTTCTAAAACAAGTTACCTTATTTTGAAAAGTGAAAGTAATAATCGATTGTTCTGTGGCCTATAAGTTCGTAATTTATTGTGAATGGATGAAAGTCTGTAAACTGAGATTTAGGAAAAGTTACAGTCAAACTGAAAAAAAAGGAAAATTTAAAATGCAGTAAAAAGTGCTTTACAAACAAAACAAACATATTTTAGCTGTAATTATCAATATCCGGAAAGGGGAAGAGTTTATTTACTACAATAAACTCAAAATCATAAAAAATTATTCCAAAATCTTATTATTGTGGCCTTTTTCGGTTTTTGTCAATTAGCAATCTGAATTGTTGGGAAAAGGTCTGAATCTTTGACATTCGGGTTCTTCCTGATTAGGCATAATTAAAGCTTACTTGATGTGTAAATGTAATCTTGGTATATAACGTTATTGTTATTTTTAGTCAAAACTTAATTTAATTGTGTAGTTTGAGCAGGAGAAGAATAGTTATGTTGGGTAAAAATTCAGTCCCATCACATTTTCATCGACATATTCTTTCATAAAGAATAGAAAGGTTATGGTATATGTAAAACTGTCAGAGGATAAAGCTTTTTTTTAACTACAGGTTGATTAAATTATGGCTATACCCTAACTTTTCTGTAGCATCACATCTTGTTTTCAAAATAGGGTGGTGCTTAATTAATGCACGGGTGTATACATCAAGGATCAAGTTCCAGAAGCCCTAGATGACCTGGTTGCCTACTTCGAGTCAACACACGTCAACGGTTCCTTCCGCTGCATTGCATCCAAACACCACCACCCCCACCCCACCCCACCCCTCTGCCGATGGTACCATTCCAGGGGATGAGAATGCGCCGTGTTCCGACACTGTATCACAGCTCTCCAGGTTACTACGGAGAACTATCCAGCCGGTGGTTACTGTGATCGTGCTGTGAGGTCCTGGTTGGCCGTAGGTCAGACTATCCAGGTTACTGTGATCGTGCTGTGAGGTCCTGGTTGGCCGTAGGTCAGACTATCCAGGTTACTGTGATCGTGCTGTGAGGTCCTGGTTGGCCGTAGGTCAGACTATCCAGGTTACTGTGATCGTGCTATGAGGTCCTGGTTGGCCGTAGGTCAGACTATCCAGGTTACTGTGATCGTGCTGTGAGGTCCTGGTCGGCCGTAGGTCAGACTATCCAGCTGGTGGTTACTGTGATCGTGCTGTGAGGTCCTGGGTGGCCATAGGCCAGACTATCCAGGTTACTGTGATCGTGCTATGAGGTCCTGGTTGGCCGTAGGTCAGACTATCCAGGTTACTGTGATCGTGCTGTGAGGTCCTGGTTGGCCGTAGGTCAGACTATCAGGTTACTGGTGTGGTTACTGGGTGATCGTGCTGTGCTATGAGGTCCTGGGTGGCCGTAGGTCAGACTATCCAGGTTACTGTGATCGTGCTGTGAGGTCCTGGTTGGCCGTAGGTCAGACTATCCAGGTTACTGTGATCGTGCTATGAGGTCCTGGTTGGCCGTATCCAGGTTACTGTGATCGTGCTATGAGGTCCTGGTTGGCCGTAGGTCAGACTATCCAGGTTACTGTGATCGTGCTGTGAGGTCCTGGTTGGCCGTAGGTCAGACTATCCAGGTTACTGTGATCGTGCTGTGAGGTCCTGGTTGGCCGTAGGTCAGACTATCCAGGTTACTGTGATCGTGCTATGAGGTCCTGGTTGGCCGTAGGTCAGACTATCAGACTGTGATCGTGCCAGGTTACTGTGACTCGTGCTATGAGGTCCTGGTTGGCCGTAGGTCAGTATCCAGGCCGTAGGTCAGACTATCCAGGTTACTGTGATCGTGCTGTGAGGTCCTGGTTGGCCGTAGGTCAGACTATCCAGGTTACTGTGATCGTGCTGTGAGGTCCTGGTTGGCCGTAGGTCAGTACTGTGATCGTGCTGTGAGGTCCTATCCTGGTGGTTAGGTGCTGTGAGGTCCTATGGCCGTAGGTCAGACTATCAGGTTACTGTGATCGTGCTGTGAGGTGCTGTGAGGTCCTGGGTTGGCCGTAGGTTACTGTGAGACTGTGAGGTCCTGGTTGGCCGTAGGTCAGACTATCTAGGTTACTGTGATCGTGCTGTGAGGTCCTGGTTGGCCGTAGGTCAGACTATCCAGGTTACTGTGATCGTGCTGAAAGTATTGAATACCTTCACACAAACGCTCGAAATACTTTGTAAGTAAGGTGACCGCAAGACACGCAACTGAAACTTGTTTCAAAATTTAATGAAATTAAAAAATAATCTCAGGACGCGAAACTATTGTGTCAGCTGTAGTACTGCGGATACCTTTCACCTCCAAACTACTCACAGTTGAAATGATTACTAGTATCCTTTACAAACACGTAACATTACAGAACACCCGTCTTGCGCTTCAGCGGTTTGATACTTTTAAGCTTTCCCAAACTGTCCCTTTTAAACTATTACGGTGCATGATCGAATGTTAAGTTGAAACTTGCTGAACTGTTTTATGGACTAAGCGCCACGCGGCATACTTTGGGCTTATTTTAGGAAACTCGATTAATGTATGCAAAGGTTAAAGATTGTTTAAACAGTTCATTCAAAAGGTTCACGTCGACAACAGCCAGTTTGCCTATAGTGCTGTGATAGGACACGCCCCCAAAAAGCTCATGGTGTGTGAGTCAGGTCATACTGGAAGGCGATAGAGTCCCCCCACACAGTAGAGTCAGTGAATGACTGAGTTTAGTTTTACGTCGTTTTTAACAATATTCCAGCAATAGTGAGTGAGTGAGTGAGTTTAGTCTTACGCCGCACTCAGCAATATTCCAGCTATATGGCGGCGATCTGTAAATCATCAAGTCTGGACTAGACAATCCAGTGATCAAGAGCATGAGCATCGATCTGCGCAATTGAGAACCGATGACATGTGCCAACCAAGCCATCGAGCCTGACCACCCGATCCCTTTAGTCGCCTCTTACGACAAGCATGGGTTACTGAAGGTACATTCTAACCCGGACCTTCACGGGTTATTCCAGCAATAACGTGGCGGGGGACACCGGAAATTGGCTTCACACATTGTACCCATGTACGCACGCACGCACGCACGCACGCACCTTTTAGGGGTGGAAAAAAGGAGTCGTGCAAATGATTTTTCGGAACACGTTTTTTCAAGACATTATCATATCGAGCAACAATATATCGGGTCATAATTTATATTTTTTAAAACAATCCAGGAACAAAGCATTTAAAAACAGTAGAGTGAGTGAGTGAGTTAAGGTTTACACAGTTTTTAACAATACTCCAGCAATAACACGACATGGGGACATCACAAAAGGGCTTCACGCATATTTCACGCATATTTTTGGGAATCAACAATATTTCGGGTCATAACTTATATTTTTCAAAATAAAATTCAGGAACAAAAAGTCATAAAAAAACAGCCCAATGAAAATTCGATAAATCTGGATTAATGTATGCATGTGTCAAGTGCTTCAATAACACCATCTCCCGTGTCACGCCAGGTCACACGAGCTCCAGGGATGACGTGAACAGTCTCACGCTCCCCGTGGACTCCGCCATTGTGTTCCTAGGTATGTGCACATAGATCTAGGTCTCTCCAGTGGTGTTTGTTATACACACTCCTGTTGTTATATATTACAAATTCCATGAAGAAGACTAAATACTCTTATCGTTATATATTACAAATTCCATTGTTATATATTACAAATCGTGTCATTAATAGTATTCTTATATCTTAATTAAGAAGGAATTAGTTAGGAAGTACTCACTGTTACGACTAAACTCTACTGATAACGGATTATAGTTTCGAATCAAAACATACTGAGAATCCAATGAGGGTTTGTGTAATCGCAGTTGAGAACGGCAGATGCGTTCACAAGATTTGTGGAGTCGAGAGATGGAGGGCGAGATGAGGTATCATTCAAGATGGACACTGTAACATGAGCTGTGTCGTGTGTGACTGCGATCCCTGTGAATAAAAATGTATATGCATATATATAAAGAAAGTGATGAGAATACCGAGCGTACAGTAGTACATATATAAGATATATATATGAAATCTCCTTTTTGTTTTGTTTTCTTTCATAGTGATATGTGATGATATGACCTGGTCGGATGTCTCGAAGTTCGGATAACTCGATATTTCTTCTTGGTCCCATGGATATCAAGACAACGGTGCTCGACTGTATCTTACAAATTCTCCGAAGAAGAGTCAACACTCCTGTTGTTATATATTACAAATTCCCTAAAGAAGATTAAATACTCCTCGTGTTATATAATACAAATTCCATAAAGAAGAGCCAATAGGCCTACTCTTGTTATACATCACAAATTCCATAAAGAAGAGCCAATAGGCCTATTGTTACATATTACAAATTCCCTAAGAAAGCCAATAGGCCTACTCTTGTTATACATCACAAATTCCATAAAGAATAGTCAATACTCCTGTTGTTATATATTACAAATTCCCTAAAGAAGAGCCAATAGGCCTACTCTTGTTATACATCACAAATTCCATAAAGATTATGAATAAAGAACAATTCCATAAAGAAGAGTGTGTTCATCTTTATGGACTTACTCGTTGTTATTATCTTTGCATTTTTGTGTTCACTGTATGGACTTACGTTGTTATCTTTGCTTGTTTTCGTAAGCAAACACCACTGTATCGCATTTGACCCGTGAAGATCCGGATTAGAATTGGTCTTCAGTAACCCATGCTTGTCGTAAGAGGCGACTAACGGGATCGGGTGGTCAGGCTCGCTGACTTGGTTGGCACATGTGATCGGTTCCCAATAGCGCAGATCGATGCTCATGCTCTTGATCACTGGATTGTCTGGTCCAGATTATTTACAGACCGTCGCCATATAGCTGGAATATTGCTGCGTGTGGCGTAAAACTGAACTCACTCACTCACTGTATCGCATTGTATGTGATTTTGCGTTTCGTTTGGAACTGAGTATATGAGGTTAACGGTGCAAGTTGTGGCATCCATGTGAGTGATTATGAATAATTTCCTGAAAGAAATAGGATCCCATCATTTATTATGGCACCGTGTGTGTAATGAATGCTTAAGTCAGACAGTTTGAACAATTATGTATGTATGCAGCCATTTAAACCGTAAACGAATCATTCACGTGAGCACCTGACAACAGTTTTTGACATATTTCGCCAAAATATGCGTCACCTACATGGCAGGCCGGTTCTACATCCAATGTGTGACAATATACATATATACTGAACCGCAAAAGAAACGTCACCTTACAAAACCAAATGCACAATTTGGTTCGTACAAGGTGGTGTTTTTATTATGATTGTACCGTTTTGTTAACATGTTTTCAATCCAAATTGACAGTTATTACCAACGTCAGTGTGTTCTTTTTCTGATGAAAAAGCATATCGACCAAACGCACCTAAAACGGCAGACGTGGTAAAATATTCTGTATGACATTCGTGAAAATGAAAATGCACGTGCATAATGTGACAACCTTACCAATGAAAGCGTGTCCCTTACTCGCCTGAAATCACTCTTGTTTTAACACAATCGCCATGCCACGACTGAAGAGAGATCAGAGGAATCAAGCCTTGGGACGATTGCAAGGTGGCCAGACTGCACGATGGGTAGCCAAATATGTTTAATGTTCGGACAATCTACCGACTGCAAGAGCGGTATCAGGCCACTAACAGCATCCAATACCGTCCACGCAGTGGACGACCTTTAGTAACATCACGCCGTCAAGACCGACACATTGTGCGCAACTGCTAATACAGATACAGGTGAGACAATTAATACAGGTACAGATACAGGTGAGACAGTTATACAGGTACGGGTGAGACAGTTGATACAGGTACGGGTGAGTCAGTGAATACAGGTACGGGAGAGACAGTTGATACAGATACAGGTGAGACAGTTATACAGGTACGGGTGAGACAGTTGATACAGGTACGGGTGAGACAGTTAATACAGATACAGGTGAGACAGTGAATACAGATACAGGAGAGACAGTTAATACAGATACAGGAGAGACAGTTAATACAGTACAGGTGAGACATACAGGTACAGTTGATACAGGTACAGGTGAGACAGTTGATACAGATACAGGTGAGTCAGTGAATACAGGTACAGGAGAGACAGTTGATACAGATACAGGTGAGACAGTTGATACAGGTACGGGTGAGACAGTTGATACAGGTACGGGTGAGACAGTTAATACAGATACAGAGACAGTTGATACAGATACAGGTGAGACAGTTGATACAGGTACAGGTGAGACAGTTGATACAGGTACGGGTGAGACAGTTGATACAGATACAGTTGATACAGGTACAGGTGAGACAGTTGATACAGATACAGGAGAGACAGCTGATACAGGTACAGGTGAGACAACTGATACTGATACAGGTGAGACAACTGATACTGATACAGAGTACAGATACAGGTGAGACTGATACAGATACTGATACAGATACAGGTGAGACAGCTGATACAGATACAGGTGAGACAACTGATACAGATACAGGTGAGACAACTGATACAGATACAGGTGAGACAGTTGATACAGATACAGGTGAGACAACTGATACAGATACAGGTGAGACAGTTGATACAGATACAGGTGAGACAACTGATACAGATACAGGTGAGACAACTGATACAGATACAGGTGAGACAACTGATACAGATACAGGTGAGACAGCTGATACTGGCACAGGTGAGACAGTTAATACAGGTACAGATACAAAGAGACAGGTTAGTCTGTCTTTTTCCGAAGCCAGAGCACATCACCGCATAGTTCGCACGTGCCTTGGTAAAAGTTTACATATCTGAGGTGGTGTGTGTGTGTGTGTGTGCCAAGTCCATTGAGTCTCTTGCTCAATTCAACACCCTGATCACTATTTGAGACATGCTGCACATGTCCACAATGCGGTTAGGGCAGCCGGTGACTGCGTGACTGTCATACACACTGCACCGCACCAGCATAGGTCAATAGTCACACACATGTCACGTCTGATGACGATCTTTATGGAAAAGCATGTACAATGTCAATGACCCCCCTACAATTCATGCCCAAAGGCACAGGCAATGACACCCCCCACCCTGGGTTTTTAGAAAACCAATGACCCCCTATCCCATAGTTTTAAGCATAACTTTTTTAATGTATATAAATACTAAATTGCCGACCCCCTCCCCACCCCCCATCCAACAACATGTGTACCACGCGCACGCACACCAAACCTAACATCACCTCCCCTAACCATAAAGTATGAGTGAGTGAGTTTGATTTTACGCCGCTTTTAGCAATATTCCAGCAACATCACGGCGGGGGACACCAGAAATGGGCTTCATACATTGTACCCATGTGGGGAATCGAACCGGGGCCTTCGGCGTGACGAGCGAATGCTTTACCCACTAGGCTACCCCACCGCCCCCATAAAGTATGAACGGTCCTTTATTAGGTATGAGTGTGGTGACACAACCATGTGATTGTACAAGCTGTTTGTCAAGCCGCTCCTACATGTAACATATATTCACGGAAATTGGGACTTTATATTATGTGTATTTCCGGGACAAGCCGAATTAAATGGTGTTTAAGGGAAGAGACAAACAGTCGTGTACTTAACCAACTCGGAACAAATGAGTCAAGATTCCGAAATTCGTTCACACATGTCGCTGTGCACGTAAGACAATGTCTACCGATGATGCATTCATTATACCGTATTTCCTGTATATAGACCCCAGGGTCACTAGTTAACATCCAGTTATTCTACTCAAAGACGATTTCTTCATATGATTATGACATGAAGAGCTATAGTTGTAGGAAAAATTATTTTATTTTTGTGAGCTGTATATTGTGTCTGCCGGGGCGAGGAAAGACATCCCGGTAAGTACAGTGTTACCGAAATGTTAAGAATTTATAAAAAGAAACTGGTCAGATTCTTGGACTGTCCAAAGTTTCCCCCTACTCCCGGTCAGGGGTTGAAGAAAGACACACAGTTTACTGAAAAGTATCTTCGCTTGGAGCAGGATCCGAGTTGTTTATGGTCTGGTGTTTGGAGCAGGATCCGAGTTATTTGTGGCCTGTCGCTTGGAGCAGGATCCGAGTTGTGTTTATGGTCTGGTGTTTGGAGCAGGATCCGAGACACTATTGAGAAAAGGAGGTGTGCACACTTCATTTTTACCCGAGTTTCAATGGTCATTTAACAAACTTTCAGCACAAAAGGGTGCCCTGCACCCCCCCTCTGGATCCGCTTATGCTGCCTACAAATATTCTTACGAATGCAAATTCTTCACAAATCACCAGAGTACGTCCGCTTTTATTCACTGATGTTCACAGGGTTCTGCTGTGAGAGTTTGAAGTATGCACCACAAAGCTCTGTTCTCACATGTCACTGAAGCAGGTTTTGTTCGCTTGGTAAGCAGAAGATACTGCACACAGCACTATCTGAAAACACCTGATTCAACCACTGTATTGCTTGCTAGCGACCTTGACCTTAAAAGTCCCAAACTATACGGTAAATAGATGAAATTACAGCTGTTGACTTGACAAAATTAACATGGAGTCATCAGGACTTTCCAATCAGCCAGGTGGGTTAGCTACGTTCGGGTTATAGCATAGCTTGACTCTAAACTTATTAAAATTAAGAGTTCCTTTTATGTTTAGTTTTATGCCGCACTCGGCAATATTCCAGCTATGTGGCGGCGCCCTGAAACAATCGAGTCTGGAAAAGACAATCCAGTGATCAACAGCATGAGCTTCGATCTGCGCAATTGGGAACCGATGACACGTGTCACCCAAGTCAGCGAGCCTGACCACCCGCCTCTTACGACAAGCATGGGTTACTGAAGATCAATTCTAACCCGGATCTTCACGGGTATTTTCTGTATGATAACATTATTCATGTCAATATTTGGTTTCAACCAAAAGGGTACAAAAGGAGGTAAATGTATTGTCAGGTTCCACAACTGTCATTCTTTGCAATGGAAATTCCGAGTTAGATTTTATGGTATGCTTGCCTTTCTTTAGGGATTTCGGGTCAGAAGGTCGGCATGCTTGTCTCCCTTGTTGGATTCCGGATCCGAAAGGCCTCAAGAACGCTCGTCTCCATACAGGGAGTTCTGCTAAGGAAAGGTCCCCAACACCTGATGCTTTTTGGGTAGTCACAAGGCCAGAATTGCCAGGACCATACTTCATGCCGTTCAACCTCGCGGTCCACATTCAGACACTTCACATTCGACAATGAAAACCAGGTCTTAGAAAACTGTTCCATAAATATTTGCTGACATCGGAATAAACAACATTCACTCACTCACTCACCAACTCACTCACTCAGTGTATGCGAAGTGTATATTGACGGGGAATGTATAGAAGCGTCCAGTGTGGTTCAACATAGCCGATATATGATGAAGAAATAATTATACATCATAATGTATAATCGTACAGATGTTAATGTGACTGAGTGCAGTCTGTAGTCACCACGTGGTCCACATAATGCAGTCTGTGCAGAAACTAGACAGTGTCCCAGTTTCACCGAGAGTCGTATGACAGGGTACTGCATCGCCTTCTGCACCAGTCACCTGTTTCCATGTCCTTGATCTATATAACCACTCTCGTATATGTAAGTTACACACGAGACGGTGAGGGGAGTGGGTAACAAGTTCTTGTTGCACTGCTTGGGTGGATCCTAAACGATCACGGAGCGTTTCACCTGACCGCCTCAAAGCTTTGAAAACAGTCCCTGTACTTCTAAAAGTCCATGAAACCTATATTTCTTTTCAGAAAATGAATGAATTATCTCTGGAATAATTCATAATTTTGTAAACAGTATTAAAAAAGCTTTTTAGTTGTTGAAGTTAACTGTGTCCGGTAGTTATTGGTGATATCTGGTATGTATTACATCTTAACATAATAACATGAAGACTTTTCCAGTCTGACAACAAGTAAACAAACCAAAAATGTTTCACATGTCGAACTTGGTAGTATTGAAAATCCACATCTGATATCGTGATATTTCTACATTGTTTGGAACATCTGTAAAGATCAACAGATCGATGTTACCCTGATTCGTTTATCTGGACATTTGTAAATCTGGAAGATTTAAACGTGAGTGGTACCGTCCGGATTAATGAGATTGCGCTGTTTGTCATGTGCCCCTGTACCAAGATGGCGTGGTAGGGGGTACCAGTGTTCCGTTAAATGACACCGGTTTAAAGTTAAACAAGTCTGGTTGTCCGAAGTGGGGATACTTGCTGGCGTCCTTGACCTTAGACCACTGGAACGGCGGTTGTTGGTCATACGTGGGCCCCGAGACAGCATCAAACAACAACCACTGCATCTCTCCGGTCGCTACGATCTGTGACAGGGAGAAACCATTGGTTGTACATCCAACTCAGGTACACATCCTTCCCCAGGATACTTATGTAGGAGACGTCACCACCTCCGTGTCTCTCATACCAATAATTTAGACGTCATTTTTGCCTGTGGGTGTCATTTGATTGGATAGCTATATTTAGCATTATGCTAATGAGGCTCATAACTGAGCTATGGCTCGTTTCAGGGATTAGGTATTTGTCATCACAGAAATCAAATATACCGGAAGAACAAGCTTGTTTTGAACCGTGAAATTGTGCTTTCGGCCTGACCTTCACATCTATAGCTCCTTCCATGGCGAATCCGAGCTCATCGTAGAGGTAGGTTCCGTTTTCCTCGTTGAGGTCGTCGCGAGCTGCTATGGCGAGGTCGGCGCTGTACCCTGGGGTACAGTGGCACTTAGATAGGTTGTCGTGTCTGAAGTCGTTGTACCTGCAAATAGCACAATTTCTTACCGTCAGCCTTTGTTCACCTAGAATGACAATAAGTGTACGAGATTTCAAAAGCTCTGCAGTTCGCTCTTCAGACGTTTGTCCCTTACTTATTCTAGGAAAGGCCTTTTATGGGCGAGAATCACGGACTCGCGCTGATTATGATCCTTGATCTATCAACCTGATGTTGGTTTCACAAAAGTCATGAACACCTACAATCCGAACAGGTTTGGTCTTTCATCCCATGAGCTCGAGATTAATTACACATTTATCTGACGCCGTAACAGAACTGGAATCTGTTCACCCATCAACTCCCTTGAACGACAAAGTCTCTCTTTATACATTTATCTGACGCCGTAACAGAACTGGAATCTGTTCACCCATCAACTCCCTTGAACGACAAAGTCTCTCTTTATACATTTATCTGATCCAATTGCAGAACTGGAATCTGTTCACCCATCAACTCCCTTGAACGACAAAGTCTCTCTTTATACATTTATCTGATCCAATAACAGAGCTGGAATCTGTTCAGTCAGACTCGCCCTTGAACGAAATAGTCCATCTGTATACACGGTAATCTGAAGCCGAAATCCTGCTGAAATCTGTTCACTCACTCACTCGTAGCATACCGACCATATATATATAGGCCTATTATATATATGATTGGGTGTAATAACTATAAGACTAGTTTAATATTACAACTAACCCATTTTCAACATAAATGTTGTATATTTGAATTAACATTTGTTATTACAAAATGCACTCCTCCGTTTAAAGAACAAACAAGCATGTTCTCAGGAAGGGAAGTCTGACAGAACGTCATCACTGGGAAACGGAAAACCAGCTTCCCTCTTCCAGTCCGTACCTCATCATATTGAACAGCGTGTTCCGGTCCTGTACCTGGGCGTCCTGCTGGAAGAACATCCGGGCCCTGCGGGACATGTTGTACGAGAAGTAGTCCCCGTACTTGGCAACTAACTGGTTTTGCCCGCTCATGTTGAATATAGTCGGGAAAAATCTGTCAAAAAACATTTCATAGTCTGAACAAAATTCATTTCTATTTCTTCGGAATAGTTCCCTTATCACGTGTTATAATCGCACAAATATCTTGTTTGGTGTCTACTACTTGTTCATGGAAGGACCTCAGTGAAGTGGAAAACAATAGCTAATGGAATAACACAGAGACACCAACAGAACGGTGATAATATCTATAAGGAGATTCAAGAAACCAACCAAAATGGTTGAGGGTTGTTGGTACCAGAAACAGTTGGTATGTACACGGAAAAACACACATTTTGTGGGGAGACTTACGCAACGTTATAGCTGGCCCAGTATGTGTTGACAATCAGGAGGTCGGTCACATCTGCATATTCGATGTAGCCCCTGAAATGATAGAATTACACATAACATAAATATTTAAAGGTGGACAATGTTGTACAAATCATTATCAAGTTATGCGCCTCTGAAACTAGTCCTCAGAAACAGCGAGATATTTGGAGGGGGGTTGTGGGGGTGCGCACCTCCCCCCCATCCTATACTCACTGATAGCTAAATTTTGATAGAATATAAGACTTTGCGTTCGTGTTTACCTGGTTTTGTAACTATTACCTAATCTGACACAACAAATTCTGCGTCGTAATTACTGCATATCATACATAAGGACAATTATAGAAACTGTGCACTCTACAAGATGAACGTCAACTGTTGGCAGAAAGTGTAAGTATATTTATTATAGTGATATGAATTCACATCAGGAATTTTAGGCTTCAATTACTTAAAGATGGGATTCTGACAAAGAAACAATGACAACGACACCAAACGTTAAAGACGCTTTAACGTTTGCGTAAATATAAGACGCTTTAACGTTTGCTTAAACACATGACGCTTTAACGTTTGCGTAAATATAAAAAACTTTAACGTTTGCGGAAATATGACGCTTTAACGTGTGCGTTAATAAAAGACACTTTAACGTTTGCGTAAATATAAGACGCTTTAAAGTTTGCGTAAATATAAGACGCTTTAACGTTTGCGTTCGATACGTTATTGACTTATTGCGTACAATACGCTGTTGAATCTGCTGCAATACGCTATGACCCCGGTATATACGGGAAGTATACATACGGCATCTGCTCTACCACTGATAAAACCGCCGGCGGCAGATTTCCTTGAACCAGCTTTTGGTCAACAATCATCCACTGATTGTTGTAGCTGTAACAAAAACTTAAAACAAACTGGAAACGAAAAACAGCATTGGTATTCCATGTGCGTTATTTCAGTATCAGTCCAAGGAAGATAACCCAATTGAACTTTCAAATACAACTTCGTTTTAGAATCGGCAGTTGAACTTATTCGCTTTATTAATACATAGATTGGGTGGTAAATTAAAACGAACACCTTACTAACATCTCGAAATAACGAATTACCTGTCTGATTGAATTCATTCGGGGCAGACACAGAATTGGTAACCAACAGCTTGAAAATCAATTCCCCTTTGGGTTGCGTGAGTGAGTGGGTAGCCTAGTGGTTAAAGCGTTCGCTTGTCACGCCAAAGGCCCGGTTCGATTCCCCACATGGATATAATGTGTGAAGCCAATTTCTGATGTCCCCCCAGCTGTGATATTGCTGGAATATTGCTAAAAGCGGCGTAAAACAACACTCACTCACTCACTCAGCTGGGCCGCCTCGTTGTGTGGTGGACTCACGTGCCGCTATTGTAGCGGGAGAAGACCAGCATCCACTCCTGTCCGCTGTTGCCCAGTCTATTGGCCACCCACACCCTCACAGGCGTCAACACGCACCCCTCGGGCTTCGTGTAGTCGTACAGGTCGGGGTTGTTGTTAGGGATGGTGGTTGCCATGGTAACCTGGAATCAAACGCACAATGCCCATCTTTCAATTATACAATTACTTGCACCTATATGGTAGTGTTGAGGCATTTAGCTTTACACCTGCACCATCACGGCGGTCACTCATGAAAGACGTAAAGCATTATACATATGAGAGATCAGTCCAAACGCAGGATAAAAAAACACTTAATGACACCTTCTTGAAATAAATTTTGAAAACACGACTGTCAGAAAGACAACACAGTTAATAACAACACGGTTTGCGATATGTCAATTGGTTGCATGGTTACATGGAATCGAACTCGTCTTGGTTGAGGACGAACGAACACGTTAACCACACGTCTTCGCCAGCGTCCTACTAAGTCTAGTTCCGGGCTCCTGGGGATAAAGTGAGCTTACCAGCCAGGAGGAGAGGACGTAGAAGTCGTCGTCGGAGATGAGGTAGCCCGGGTAGGAGGAGAACGTCCACACGCTGCCCTTCGGCATCAAACCTAGGAGGACGAGGAGGTGGTGGAGTAAGTGTATGGGTGAGTGAGTGACTGTTGGTTCTCTAAGATACAGACGTTTAGCGCCATGCTCGAATAATGGCGAGGAGAGCCTAAATTGATGCTGATCCTTTTGATGAAATCAATGAAAAATCGATTATAAAACTGGTTAAGAGGAAATCGCCAGCACATTTTTGTAGCCTAGTGGGGTAGCCTAGTGGTTATAACGTCAGCTCGTACCGCTGAAGACCCGGGTTCGATTCCCCACATGGGTACAATTTGTGAAGTCCATTTGCGATGTCCCCCGCCGTGATATTACTGGAATATTGCTACGAACGGCGTAAAACCATACTCACTCACTCACTTATGCTTTAGAAAGGGTTTTGCGAATAGATATGTAAGTAACCTTGGCGACCGGAATAAGGAAGATGCTGTCTAATGGCTTCGTAAAAGGATATATCATATTAACCTATTCTGTGACACACTGGACTACTTCGTTATTATGCATTAAGTGATGAAATTGTCTACTTCTCTTTATACACAAATTTAATGTTTCACATGACTGAAATGACGCGATAAGACACAATTACGTTGGAACTACTTCAAAGACAGCAAGACTGAAAATAGGAAAGGAGGAAAATAAAATAAAATTAATGTAAAGGTTTCCTTTTATATTATCAAATAACGACTTGAAATGTTGTGTGAGAAGACGACAACTATCTGATCCACATCTCACCCTTCCTGGCGTCTGTCATGCTGTACTGCAAGGTGTATTTCTTGAGCATGCGCAACATGTTCGTGTAACCGGACCAGGTGTTGTGAGCGGCGTAGAGCAACTCGTATTCAAGGTCGACCTTGATGTAGGCGGAGCAACGATCACGCTGCGGCTGGTCAACACTGACGCCGGGTTTGTGAAGCGCTACCTCCAGATCCCCCACATCGTTACTGATCTGGAAGAGGCTGGACACGGGGGAAGGAAACACAGCAATAATATTTTTTAACTTAAAATATGAAGTCAACAACTGTGTACTTTCGTTTTTCACACCTGTTGCGATCAGTGGCACAAGAAGCAAAACAAAATGTTGGACATTTGAAACTCACAGACGCTCCTATCTGACGTGGGCGTCAAAGCATGCTATAGATGAATATTTTTGCAATATTAGACAACATCCGTAATTAAACACATGGCAATATTTTTTCTTATTTCAACACTAAATTTCCTTCAAATAAGGCATCAAGAAAATCCTTTCCAAGTTTCCTCTTTACATAATATTACCATGCTTGCGTAATTGGAACTTTTGGAAGTAAAACGTTGGGATGATTGCAACTTTACCCTTTATGAGCCAGCTATTGCACCAACCAAATTATCAGTTTTGCCAAACCAAACAAATCCACAAAAGATTTCAGGGAAATATTATATTATGAATACTGTTACAAAAGCCATTCTTTTGCTGAGTCGACAGTATGGGACTGTTCATATATTATACCGCGGGGTGGGGGGAGGAGGAAGGGTTGTCAAAACATTGATTACACAACAGTCTCGTTTCCTGTTGACTGGGTCCCGTCCTATTGCGCAACTTAGTATAATAACCAGTCCAGAATTTTGAGACCAATTCATTCAACTGGATACATAATTATTAATCAGTATTATTTGATACATCTAAGCACTTGTATATTGCAACACTGCGCTCCTTCTAATCCTTGCAAACACGTCGTGCAGCGTGCTCTGTCGTACAGCGAGCTCTTACAAACGGAAACCTGGAAATCGTGGAAATCTCTAAACGAGGCTCTCCCGCTAGAAACGTTTGGCGGTCTGGTATGGACTTAATATTATATCAATCACATTGTGCGTTACAAAACTACACTGAATAAGCACATAACAGGTGTAATAACCAGTGAGTCAGATGCATTGTGAATCATTTTACGACCTCATCAAACTGGGCAGTCTGTGACGTCTTAGTTAAGGTCATGCTGCCTACACCTCGCCATAAGATAGAAAAATACGATGTTATTAAAGTTTCAAATTAAAATTCATTTGTAAATACCATTTTCTTATGAAACAAGGTATTGGAATTTAGTGTAACCATAGCTGTTTGTGATGCCTATTTTCACTTTCACACGAGAAATTTCGGATCGGCTGAAAAGTAGGTCATTGTCTGAATAGGTTAATGAGACTCATGTTTCGGTTTGTGGCGGTTTTCATTCCTCCCCTCCTCCTCTACTAATTCCTTCACGGGAATCCGAAGTCGTACACTTCTAGATAGGACAGTGCCGGAACTGGCCATGGTAACCATGGTAACCACGACATGCATGGGTGGGGTGGTGACCGACTGGATGTGGAGAATCTATAACGTCTCAACAACCAGGAGATCGTGGCACACCCACGGGACACAACTCTGGATACCAGGTAGTGGCACTGTGTAGATCGTTCAGCCATCCTTACAACTATATCAGCGTTGAATGAGGCTTCCTGTTGTACTTACTACAACCCGAATGGGTCTATGTCCAGGGACGGCCTCTTCGGGTCGTTGTTGTAGCCGTCGGTCATCCCCCGCAGTTGCGTGTAGAACATCTCCACCTGGGAGTCAGAGAGTCAAACGTCACACACTCGGATACTCTCGGCAGTTTCCGCTATATGTATGCTACGGGTAGTAGTGGAGTAGAGACATTAAATCATTTCTCCCAGTAACATAGAGGTCCCAGGCAACTTATGTACCCGATGTAAAACCATCACGGGTGTCCCCCGATATGTCCTTGCTGGATCTTACTTGAATATTGCAACACTGGCTAATGACCGAACTCATGCAGTCGTTGTTTATGGTGACAGACACTGGTTTACCGCCGTCAGAGCGTTTGCAGGATGTTGTGGACTTCCTGCATGAGGGAAGTCGGGTTAGAGAAGACCCCATCACTCTATTCCTTCCTGCAGGGTTCCTCTAACCTGAAGTCTGGGTAGTCAGAGTAAGTGAGTAAGTAAGTATGGTTTTACGCCGCTTTTAGCAATATTCGATCAATAGCACGGCGGAGAACACCACTAATAGCAGAGCTACAGATAACGTTTTGGGTCATTGAGTTACAGTACAGCCAGAAATTATTGAGAAGTTAAGATTGTAATTTTTTTTACTATTTTCACTCATTACTCACGTATTAAATGTGAATATTAGCAGAACATAACTCCAGATTCAAAGACAGGTGAACAGTATTTTGCACAGTCACCATGGGCAGCAATGCAGGCTTCAATGCGGCGGGGCAAACTACTGATCAAAAAAAGTTAGAAAGTCGTGGTCCATGCTGTCCCAATATCGGACCATCTCTTCTTTCATTTCAGCAATATTTGTCAGATTTTTCTTATTGACACTTTCCTCCATAAGTCCCCAAACATATTCTATTGGATTTAGGTCAGGGCTACAGATTGGCCAATCTAATAATGTCATATTTTGGGTCCGAAACCAGGCCTGTGAATGCTTTGAACGATGTTTTTGGTCGTTGTCCTGCTGGAAAATCCAAAAATGTCCATAGTGAGGAGATGGAAGTAAATGTCCCTCGTGAATATCTGTGTACCGCTCACTGTTCATATTCCCTTCAAATACGCAGAGGGGCGTTGCCCATAACACAGATATGCCACCCCACACGTTAAATTTCGGACTGTACTTTGGGCGCTGATACAAAGGTTTTTCAGTTTGTTTGGTCCAGAATTTCAGTGCATGTGTTAGGAAACAGCCACACAGAACTTTCATCTGAGAAAATCACATTGTCCCAGTTAAAATTTCTATGCTGTAAGCACCAGTTCAACCTTCGCTCCTTTTGTTCAGGTTTCATGATCGGTGATGGAATTCCTCGACTTTTATGCCAACCCATTGCATGCAGCTCAGTTCTAATTGTCTCCTTACAGACAGCCACAGTTCCTCTATCAATCATATCCAGCCTTAGGTTTTCTAAACTCTTTCGTTTGTTTTTAGAAACAAGAATACCAAGCCGCCTCCTGTCACCGACAGTCAATTTTCTGGGCCTACCTGTGCCTCCCTGGTGCTCAATGCCATATCCATTTGCAATATGTTTCAAAACACGATAAACAGTGGACAAAGGCATGCCTGTTCTACTTGAAATCGCTTTAGCTGATCAGATGTCCTTGTTATAATACTCTAAAATTAACTTCCTCTTCTCTAAATTATCCATACTGAGGATCACTGAAAATGTCGTCTGTTAGCAAGTTAACAAAGGGGGGATAACTCTTCACAAAATAATGAAAAAGGATTAACGAAGTTGTCTCTCTTGAATGAACCAAAGCACTTGATAGCTGATCAAGGTTGTTTATACTAGAAATCCAATTACACATATTCCTAAAATTCTCAATAATTTCTGGTCATACTATATGTACTCGCTTGTCTTCATCTCAGTTGGGTATCCTAATTATCCTTTGAGTAACCAAATAAATTGTACTCACCTCACTCAAACTCAATTGGGTATATTGCCATTTTCTATTAATTAAAAAAATATAATAAAGTTTAAATGTTAGTGTTTGTGATTTACATTTTATTTGTAATATGAGAAACAATAAGAAAGACTGCAAGTTGTCAAGTTCATGTCCTGAAATAGAATCTCTCAATATATACTACAAACAAAAAGTATGGGAACATCCTAAAATTTTATAGTCGTATATAAACTGAAACGTGCTGAGGTCATTTATACACTAAGGTAAATTCAACTTTTTTGTGTGCTTAATAGGCACTTTAAACGACATATTAGATCTTGTAGTGAAGAAACTGATTCAATATTCGTTGAGTTTGAGTTAAATTAAACATTGTCAAAAACAGCGAAAAACAAGGGTGCTGAACACATGCACAAGGCTGTTGTGTTTGGGCGTTTGTATCAAACATTGTGCTAGTGTCTTTCAGCACCCTTGTTTTTCGCTGTTTGATTTCATTCAAACTCAAACTCAAACGAATATTGAATCAGTTGCTTTGGCAAGCTCTAACATGTCGTGTAAAGTGCCCATTAAGCACACAAAAGTTGCATTTACCTTAGAGTATAAATGACCTCATCACGTTTAAGTTCATATATGACTATCAAATTTTAGGGTGTTCCCATACTCTTTGTTTGTAGTTTACTTCAGTTATTTTATCTATCCAATGGTACGTAAGCTACGATTTGACATTTTTTGTGTGTACGCATGTAAGATCACATTTATTGCGTATTTACAAAACTTCAAGCGTACTTGTACGCAATAGACTTAATAGGAATTGGGTTTTCACATAAATATTTGCGTAATTTACGCAAATACGCAGCTTATCTGTACCTCTGAATAGGCTTCACATTGTACCGATGTGGGGAATCGAACCCGGGTATTCGGCATGACGAGCGAACACTTTAACCGCTGGGCTACCCCACCGCTCCTCAGACTCTGTAACTCTGTAACGGTCACAGGGTGTCATCTTACCCCTTGAGAATGGAACGCTGCTCACAAACGACACAGTTGGAACGGACTACCTCCACCTACCTGATGCCAGTAGGTGTCGTTGGTGTTGTTCTTGATGGAGGTTCGAATCCAGTTAAGGTTGGTCTCCAGGAAGTCGTGCAGACGCTTGCAGTAGGCGGAGTAGGGGGTATTGCAGTAGCCGGCCATGGTATTTTGCCAGTGCATTTTAATTTGATCACGTGTGACGTAGCCTTCAACCAAGCCGGCAGCGTAGGCCAACATGGAGTCGTTGTACTTCTCATTTACGTGATACTGCGTGCTGACTTCCAGATACCCCCACCTGTGAAGGGGAACGTCGCTAAGTCCATAACTGTACTCGGATATGACGAATAGTGGGGTATTACGAATTGTCGGATATCACAAATAACTTGGTTTTACGAAATGTCGGATATTACAAATAACTTGGTTTTACGAATTGTCGGATGTGACAAATATTTGGGTATTACGAATTGTCGGATATGACAAATAGTTGGGTATTACGAATTGTCGAATAAGGAAAGTAGCTGGATATTGGAATAGTCGGTGTGGTGAATAGTGGGCTATTACGAAAAGTGCGATTTGACGAATAGTCGGTTTTTGACACATGGTACGGTCTTACGAATAGTTGGGCGTGACGAACAATCGAACGTAGTGAAAAGACGCCTTATACGAACAGCATGATATACGGACGCAGTGGACTGAATGCTACAGCGAGTAGCCGAATACAGCGAGTAGCCGAATACAGCGAGTAGCCGAATACAGTGAGTAAACGGATTTACTAGCTGGATCCACTGCTGTAGCAGGTGGACGTACATAACTAATAATCTGATGTAGCGATAATAGTCTGATAGAGCCAATAGTCGGATATAGTTTATAGACTGCCATAGTGGAAGGTCGGGTACAGTGGATGTACTTCTACAGAGAGTAGTTACACAAATACAGTGTGTGGAATAGTAGAGAACTGTCGCATATAGTGAATAAGTGAGTGAGTTTAGTTTTACGCCGCACTCAGCAATATTCCAGCTATATGGCGGCGGTCTGTAAATAATCGAGTCTGGACCAGACAATCCAGTGATCAACAGCATGAGCATCGATCTGCGCAAATGGGAACCGATGACATGTGTCAACCAAGTGAGGCGGTCTGACCACCCCATCCCGTTAGTTGTGGTAGCATGACTGTTTTATATCGACCATTTCGAGTATTTAAATCTTCATTTCACGCATTTTACTATTTTTCATAATTTCACCAATTTTCTCGTTATTCTAATTAACTGCATATTTAAGGAGTCCAAATTTCGATTTTTTTTCTAGACATTTAATTATCCACTTGCAAAATGAAATAGAAATTTAGAGAAAACATATCAATAACGATGTCAAAGTTATTTTTTCGTTTGATGATATTTTGAGAAAATATTTTACTTTGATTATTGTTTCGAAATTAAGGAGAAGTTATTAAAGACAAATCATTGAAATTAACTAAAAGTTGCTACCAAAGTGGCACCATTAGGTTTTTCTATCTTGAAAAGAGCATACGAAAAGTGGAAAGCTGAGAGCTGAAGGGGTAACAACCCCAAGTTCATGATAGAGTATCTTCTAGCCACAAGCAATATTTGAACACTTCAACACAACCAGGACGCAATACTAGGGTAATATAATCTACACACCCAGTCTCATTGACGGAGTCGATGAACTGGGCCCAAGCCAGAGAATCCTCTGTCGCTACACCCTCCAGTATCTGAAACTGTTGAGAGGTTTCATTAAATACGGCGTGAACAGTGACCGGTTGTGCTTCTCCAACAACTACCTGCAACAACATCGACATCAACACCGTCAGCACTACAACATGCACGGCGGCCGCCATCTTGCCTGTCATGTGACTTGCCTTGATCGAGAGACTTTGTACATATCAAATGTTCAAGTCAAGTTCATGGTCAGTGTAGAGATAAATACTCGCAGACATTCCTGACATACGCAGATAATACGGGATTCTAATTCAGCTTAGTATGTAACACGAGCTCTGATTGGTCAATGCTATAAATTTCCGACCATATAATCAGCATATACGGTCGCAATTTGAGAACCTATTCACCAAAACCTTTGAATGTATCCCTATACTATTGGGGTAACGCTGTTTTTCAGGACATTGTCATTTGCATAAGCCCTAGGTCAGTTTAACTCCCTTATCACGCCAAAATGGATGGAATTTGTGTTAAAAAAGACAAAACAGTATCATAAATTTTATTGTAAGTTCAAACAACTTACTCGCAACGGGCTGTTGACCCAACACTGTTAGATCATGAAACAAGATTTATGACGTCATTATGGAACGTGACAACAGAACAGATAGTGGCCCGTAGTTGAGGAATCACCGGGCCATTATCATTAGCAGCGGCGCGCTCATTCCTGATAACTAGAGGGCGGTTTCATGATAATTCCGTCCAAATGTACAAGACAAGTTCATGGTCAGTGTAGAGATAAATACTCACAGACATTCCTGAGATATGCAGATAATACGGGATTAAATATTTAAAAAATACTATCTCTTGAGACACGCATTACCAGCTGCCAGGAGTGCCGTTCACCTCCATTGTTCCTTGACAGATCTTGCACGTGCATGGACTAAACCACTCGTTGAGGTAAGGCGTGTAAGTGTTTCCACACCGTCATTTATTTTAAGCAATTGTCCAATATTTTCCAATTTTATAAAAGCACCAAACACTGTGACGTGGGCATGAACAACATATTCTCCAGCTGTCCATGAGACCGAGTGTGGTATTTTATTTATTACCCACTTCTTACATGCATTAAATTATTTTTGTTATTGTTATGGTTTCAAACCGAAACCGGTTTCATAAAGAGGTTGCGGAAGAATTTTGTTCTGTAGTACACTTTTGCATGACGTCACACTGTATTGACGTCACTTCGCCATTCACGTCTGCTCCCTTGGTAACCGACGTTACATGTATGTCAGTTGTCATCGCCTCGTACAGCCTCCTACAGTAAACTACTCCGTAGCACCCCGTTTCTTGGTTTGCAGTTACTTCACTCGGCTAACATCACTGGTCGGAACTTTGCGTTTATGTTTTTCGACGGATATAATGTCTCAGTTCGCAATGTTTATATTTCCCACAATGCATATAAGTTGTAGAATGAATGAATTCACGTGTTTGTTATGAATGAAAAAGTAGTTCCGTCACAACGTGACCTACTTGAGAGGTCATCGGTTATCCAATCAAATCGTTAGAATCTCAGGTCACGTCGTTACGACACAGGTCAACGCGATACGACACTCGTGTGACGTACGAGATTAGTATGCAACTACCCATAAGTTGACCACGTGGGTAATAAAAAGTTTTATTTCATCCTCTGTCATTTTAATCGTATGTTCTTTTAATGCAAGGTTATTTTCCACAGAAGTTCTCAACACCAGAAGGAATTATGTAAGTCCAGCTAGGGTCCATGCAAGTAGCAAAAGTACTCAATATCCAAATGGACACTAGTATGGTGATCTATCTACATTCAGTTTCTGGTGATCTACAGCCGATTTTATATTGTATTGCCCTGAATAGTCGGATTCGTTTAAGCTACGTAGGTTATAAAATCTCTATCTGCGATATTATCGTTGTTTTATTGTCCTTTGTCGACAGAATTTACAATTGCAGTATATTTATTACTTGACTTCACGGTATGGCTCAAATATTGCCGATGTGTCTATAACTCTTAACTCACCTTCTAACTAACTCACTTACCCCATACCAGCTGCAATGGGTTGGTTTTCACTCAGTCTGCAGTCTGGTGGAGACTATAGCAAGTCTAGTTTCTACGTACATCCAGTGACCTTGGGTTTAAGCTACCGTTATTCACGTACAAAATATATGAACGCTTGTCTTTTAGACATGGTAGGAAATAAAACAGTATGTAACTACAATGTATATCAGGCGACTCCAATAGACTAAAACGCACAACTCAGGGCCCCGTTTCACAAAGCTGTCGTAGCGCTATGATTGTCGTAAGTCTATGTTACAGTATAGGATGTACGGCAGTCGTAGCGCTATGATTGTCGTAGGTCTGTGTTACAGTATAGGATGTACGGCAGTCGTAGCGCTATGATTGTCGTAAGTCTATGTTACAGTATAGGATGTACGGCAGTCGTAGCGCTATGATTGACGTAAGTCTATGTTACAGTATAGGTTGTACGGCAGTCGTAGCGCTATGATTGTCGTAAGTCTGTGTTACAGTATAGGATGTACGGCAGTCGTAAGTCTGTGTTACATTAAAGGGTGTACGGCAGTCGTAGCGCTATGATTGTCGCAAGTCTGTGTTACAGTATAGGATGTACGGCAGTCGTAGAGCTATGATTGTCGTAAGTCTGTGTTACAGTATAGGATGTACGGCAGTCGTAGCGCTATGATTGTCGTAAGTCTGTGTTACAGTATAGGATGTACGGCAGTCGTAGCGCTATATGATTGTCGTAAGTCTGTGTTACAGTATAGGATGTGCGGCAGTCGTAGCGCTATGATTGTCGTAAGTCTATGTTACAGTATAGGTTGTACGGCAGTCGTAGCGCTATGATTGTCGTAAGTCTGTGTTACAGTATAGGATGTGCGGCAGTCGTAGCGCTATGATTGTCGTAAGTCTATGTTACAGTATAGGATGTACGGCAGTCGTAGCGCTATGATTGACGTAAGTCTATGTTACAGTATAGGTTGTACGGCAGTCGTAGCGCTATGATTGTCGTAAGTCTGTGTTACAGTATAGGATGTACGGCAGTCGTAAGTCTGTGTTACATTAAAGGTGTACGGCAGTCGTAGCGCTATGATTGTCGCAAGTCTGTGTTACAGTATAGGATGTACGGCAGTCGTAGAGCTATGATTGTCGTAAGTCTGTGTTACAGTATAGGATGTACGGCAGTCGTAGCGCTATGATTGTCGTAAGTCTGTGTTACAGTATAGGATGTACGGCAGTCGTAGCGCTATGATTGTCGTAAGTCTGTGTTACAGTATAGGATGTGCGGCAGTCGTAGCGCTATGATTGTCGTAAGTCTATGTTACAGTATAGGTTGTACGGCAGTCGTAGCGCTATGATTGTCGTAAGTCTGTGTTACAGTATAGGATGTACGGCAGTCGTAAGTCTGTGTTACATTAAAGGGTGTACGGCAGTCGTAGCGCTATGATTGTCGCAAGTCTGTGTTACAGTATAGGATGTACGGCAGTCGTAGAGCTATGATTGTCGCAAGTCTGTGTTACAGTATAGGATGACGGCAGTCGTAGCGCTATGATTGTCGTAAGTCTGTGTTACAGTATAGGATGTACGGCAGTCGTAGCGCTATGATTGTCGTAAGTCTATGTTACAGTATAGGATGTACGGCAGTCGTAGCGCTTTGATTGTCGCAAGTCTGTGTTACAGTATAGGATGTACGGCAGTCGTAGGTCTGTGTTGCAGTATAGGATGTACGGCAGTCGTAGCGCTATGATTGTCGTAAGTCTATGTTACAGTATAGGATGTACGGCAGTCGTAGCGCTATGATTGTCGCAAGTCTATGTTACAGTATAGGATGTACGGCAGTCGTAGCGCTATGATTGTCGTAAGTCTATGTTACAGTATAGGATGTACGGCAGTCGTAGCGCTATGATTGTAGTAAGTCTATGTTACAGTATAGGATGTACGGCAGTCGTAGCGCTATGATTGTCTCAAGTCTATGTTACAGTATAGGATGTACGGCAGTCGTAGCGCTATGATTGTCGTAAGTCTATGTTACAGTATAGGATGTACGGCAGTCGTAGCGCTATGATTGTCTCAAGTCTATGTTACAGTATAGGATGTACGGCAGTCGTGGCGCTATGATTGTCGTAAGTCTATGTTACAGTATAGGATGTACGGCAGTCGTAGCGCTACGATAGCTTTGTGAAACGCTCCCCAGGGCCTAGATTTTCGAAGCACTCTTAGCGCTAAGATAGTCCTAAGTTAATGTTAATGTATGGCACTTACGACTATCTTAGCGCTAAGAGAGCTTCGAAAATCTAGGCCCAGGTGCCTTGATGGACAAAAACACATGATCCGGAAATATATGTTTTTTAAGAAGTTCAGAGCCTCACCTAGAGGCTCTATGACGTCACCAAGCCACGTGACCAATTCATCCAGAAGCTCTCTGACGTCATCGGACTTCCGGTTTGTACGATACATCGAGACACGTGACCGATGACATAATCTCTTATTAATATGCATAGCTCATGAACCACCAAATGTATGCATGACGTCACAGGTCAGAAAGGTCAAAGGGCATTCTATAGTCACATTGCACAAATGCCATTCATTAACTGAGCCTTAACAAAGCTGAATCAATGCATATATTGAAGTCCTTTACTACGTTCGCGATTTGCGCGGGCTATTCAAAGTGCACCTGACCCTCTGTGGGTCACCCAGAATGGAATGTCAGCTGTTGATTTGTCGAATTCCATCAGGACAAAAGGTCATTTTTCTTGGTGACGTCATAGAGCCTCTAGGTGAGGCTCTGAGCTATTTCATTTTCCAATACCGCCTCTATAACAAGATCCGATGAGTTAATTGTAATGGAGGGTTTACATTGTACAAAAACTTTCAAATTTGGAACATGAGTTTTACTGACTTTCGGGGCGGTGGGGTAGCCTAGTGGTTAAAGCGTTGTATCGTCATGAGGAAGACCCGGGTTCGATTCCCCACATGGGTACAATGTGTGAAGCCCATTTCTGGTGTCCCCAACCGTGATATTGCTGGAGAATTGCTTAAAGCGGCGTAAAACCATACTCACTCACTACTGTGACTTTCAAATGGGTTACTGAAGACCAATTCTAACCCGGATCTTCACAGGTATACAAAATACAGTATTGAAAACAATGATGGTATAACTCTATTGACACATATTCACTTTCATCACAGCGTGTTGTGTATTGGCACTGTTTGAATTCAACCATATTTCACGGAAATGTTCCGTTGAAGGGATGATGGATTGTAGGTACAGCGACAAAAAGCCCAAAGACAGTGACAAAAAGAAAACCCAAACCAACTAAATAAAATTTCAAATAAATGTCAAAGTCACAATGTTTAGGTTATTGGAAATGTATTTATATACCAGTTGGCTAGAAATATCTCTCCAGTAAAAGACATTCAGAAACAATACTTCTTCATTTGGAATTTCGACATGGCTGAGCTTGACCTACTTTCGTTTCTCTTCGCTGTCCATGGCTTCCAAAACATTTGTTCACGGTGACTGGGCTATTTACAAATTACATAAACCAAGACGAAACCCAGTCTATAATTATGTCTACCATTAACGTGTTGAGTTTCTGCTGGAAATACGTCTGCTGACAAACACTGTTGCCAGTGAACCTCCCAACAGTATGGCTGAATACGACCATGTTTAGCTGAAAACGGATCGGCATTTAGACTAACGCTTAGTCTCTGACTATATATAAGTTTGATAGTAGCAAACAAGCCCATTTAAATTGAAAAGGAGCCCCATGGAGACCAGAGATTCAGAACCTGAGGAAATCTAGACTTGCTTTATTTAGGGCTTTAGCACTGCTGATAGGGCTTGGCAGTAGGGACAATAATGTGGTTCAGGGACTGGGAGACAGACTAATCGGCATTGTATGACAGCAGATCCTGCGAGTCTGTGAGAATGCGCCTGTTTGTGACCGATGGTTGTGTGGCCATAACACAGTTGTTACGGTGTGTGTTACGTAGATGTGTGTTCGGAATGACAGGTCACTATGTCGGTGTGCTGTACACCGCCGACAATCCTTCTGGGCGAAACGCTGCCATTGTAAAGTAAACGGATGCGTACATATCGGCTATCGATCGAGCCTTTCATTGCCATGTTTCTTTTGTGTGAAAAACTGCGTTAATTCTCAGGTATCGAATCAATTTCAACATGGAATCGCATTTTGACTATTTATAGTTACAAACTCTTCGTTGTCATGACAAAATATTAATTTATTGATTCTTTACATAACATAAAATTTGAAAACGTGAACTTGAAAACGCAAACATAAGATTTAGCTTCTTTTGAAACATGAATACACTGATATTTCGATAATCCGGACTCGTGTCGCATGAGGAACATTTGTGGAGATGACAAGGAATATTACCCGGATTCGTTTATCTGGACATTTGTAAAGATTTCAGTGTGAGTACCGGCCGGATTATCGAGGTTTCACGTGCCCCTGTACCAAGATGGCGTGGTAGGGGGTATCAGTGTTCCGTTAAATGACACCGGTTTAAAGTTAAATATGTCTGGTTGTCCGAAGTGGGGATACTTGTCGGCGTCCTTGACCTTAGACCACTGGAACGGCGGTTGTTGGTCATACGTGGGCCCCGAGACAGCATCAAACAACAGCCACTGCATCTCCCACGTCTCCACCATCTGTGGGCAATAGATTGGGCACTTTGAAGTGGTTCACGTGTGGCAATACATAGTGTGAGTGAGTTTAGTTTTAGCCGCACTCAGCAATATTCCAGCTATATGGCGGCGGTTTGTAAATAATCGAGTCTGGACCAGACAATCCAGTGATCAACAGCATGAGCACCTATCTACGCAATGGGATACGATGGCATGTGTCAACCAAGTCAGCAAGCCCTTTCGTCGCCTCTTACGACAAGCATGGCTTACTGAAGATCAATTCTAACCCGTATCTTCACGGGTCGGCAATACATAGAGTGAGCGGTGTTCAAACACTGGCAAACTGTTGCGCAAATAGGGTAGTGCAACAAAGAGAAAATGACCAGTCTTCCTATATGCGAGCGAAACATGAAGAAAGACTGGTTATTTTCTCTTTATTGCGCAACTCCATGTGCGCTACAGTTTGCCTGTGGTTCAAGTCACACAAGAACCCGATGAGGGCATTGAGGCGACACCCGCTTGCTCTTCACGGAAACATACCCCTGACATTGGGAGTCTAAGTCTGACCTTCACGTCTACAGCACCGCCCATGGCGTATCCGAGGTCGTCATAGAGGTAGGTTCCGGTTTCCTCGTTGAGGTCGTCGCGAGCAGCTATGGCGAGGTCAGCGCTGTACCCCGGTGTGCAGTTGCACTTAGACAGGGGGTCGTGTTGGAAGTCGTTGTACCTGCAAATGGCACAACGTTTCACTAAGTGACCTAGAACGACAAAGGGAATGGGTACAATGAGTGAAGCCCATTTCTGGTGTCCCCCGCCGTGATTTTGCTGGAATATTGCTAAAAGCGGCGTAAAACCAAACTCAGTCAGTCAGTCAGACAAAGGGAAAGGGGCGATTACCGACGCAACAATTGTGATGTTTTGTCTGTTGTGAACGTCATCAATCTTTCACCCCACGTTGACATGACATCGTAATGGAACTATGTTTGTTTGTTTGTTGTTTTACGCCGCACTAAATATTATTCCAGCTATATATCGGCGGTTTGCAGAAAACCGAGTCCGGAAATCACAATCCAGTGATCAACAGCATGAGCATCGATCTACGCCACAGGGATACGGTGACATGTGTCAACCAAGTCATCGAACCTGACCACCCGATCCCGTTAGTCGTCTCTTACGACAAGCACGGGTTGCTGAAAATCAATTCTAACCCGTATCTTGACGGGCCTGGACATGTCAGACAAACCATTGCATAATTTCGATTCTTATGACAAGCATAGGTTACTGAAGACCAATTCTAACCCGGATCTTGAGAAAGGGGGAAAGGGTATACTTTGTATGAACAGCGTATACTTATTTAAAAGGGATTTTAATAACCATAATGATTGTCACTAATTTTGTTATTTATATGTGACGAATTCAACAGATGTATTCTATGGCACACTGTAGTCCAATGTACGTCTTATAAAACAACTATAGATAAAGCCATGCAGTTAAACAGAGTGTTATGACCGACAACGATTGATACAGTACCTCATCAATTTATATAGCGTTTCTTTGTCCGTGACCTTGTGGTGATCGCGGCGGAATATCTGAGCACGGCGGCACATGTCGTGTGTAAAGTAGTCCCCATACTTGTCCACAAACTGTTGTTGGCCGCTCATTTTGAATATCTTCGGGAAGTATCTTTTAAAAAACAACATAACGCCACAACAAATCCAACAGCACTATGCCAAAACTAAACTGATACATATTAAATATGCTGAAATTAAAATGTTTACATTTATATGAGGTATTCTGGTCATAATTTACGTAATTGTAAATCATTACTTAAATACTTATACAACCTTCAATAATGTATGGTTTATGTGTTTACGAATATTTCGCTTTAAATAAATAAATACATCATGAACTGTTTCAGTAACCATATACTCAGACAAATGAATGACATCATATATCTGTGTTTCATGTAATGCATCCAAAAATAGGACCGACAGGCATACTCGTTTTTTTTAAAAAAAACTTAAACAATCGGACAAAATCGTTATGGTGATAAAAGCTACGGTGCCACGGAGAAAAGACAGAGTTTTCGGGTTGCGGTGGCCTCAGATTAGCATTGGTGGAGGAGCCGGAAACCGACAGATTTGTTGTTTGCCTTACGCGATGTTATAGCTGGCCCAGTAAGTGTTTTTCGTTAAGACGTCAGTAACATCTGCGTAGTCAACGTGGCCTCTGAAATAAAACAGTAATTAATAGAAGACAAATAACTGATTTAACACCGTTTCATGACAGAATCTTCACATTTATAACGCTTTGTGGAAGCCGACTCCACGGGGTTGAGTTAAAATCTGATGCTGGGTTTTCGTGGCGTACGATAACTGACAAATATTTCTAAAGTGATTATATAAATAATAATATAAATTAATGTCTACATACTTTAGAAACTGACAGAGCGGTAATATCAGTCTAGACGTATATCTCGAGTATAGGTTTTACGTCAATAAACACACCTCATGAATGGTTAATGGTTATGTAGCTTTTAAGATGGGAAGATCACAAATTCGTACCGACATAAAGACGTCAGAGAGGAGAATTGTATCGTCAGTACATCAAAGGTTAAAGCGAGAAAACCATGGCAACGTGAGCGAAAGTTGGATATAAAATGTAATTGACCCTGCATTCGCTCTTTCCCATGCAATACTAGCTGTTGATGTTGTAACAACAAGCTATAGGTGCGTTGAAATGAGGTTTAACGTCGTACTTAAGAAAATTTCACTCATATGACGACGTGCATGCGTGTGTATGGGCTGCTTGTACTAGCCCAGACTTAAGCTGGTTTTAAAGTGCTAGCCCACTGAGATAACAAGCCGCAGTTAAGCATGAATACCCCACTCAGACACAATATCTCTGAGTGGACCAGTCCTTGTTGTACCCATTAATGTCGAGAGCCAGGCAGGGACCAACAAGTACCATATTTTAACGTCTTTTGGTATGACGCGGCCGGGGATCGAACCCGCGACCGTCCGCTCTCCGTGCGGACCACTTCACCACGGAGACGGTCTCAACAACGCTATAACACTCTCCACAGCGTGTACGTACGGTAGCTGCTCCACAACGGTCAGTACCCCCGGGGGTAGAGTTTCTCCTTGAACCAGTTTTTGATCCACAACCATCCACTGGTTGTTGTAACTGTAACAAATCACCACACAAACTGAAAACAGGAATACAATATCACCCATTTGTGGTTACAAACACCGGTCAAAGGGAGAAAACTCCAGTGAACTTTCAACTTTACACTAATGTTAAAGTAATGTCAAAGTGCTCGACAAAAACGTTCTCAATACATTTGAATAATATCACAGTGATAAGATTAAAGGCATTCCAACTCATATCTTGGAATTACAGATTACCTGTCTGAATAAATTCACTGGAGACACACACCACTTCGATTATCACCGCTTGGTAATTAGACTAACGCTTAGTCTCTGAATATATATAATTTTGATTGTATCAAATAAACCCATTTAAATTGAAAAGCAGACCCAGGGAGACCAGAGAACCTGGAGAAATCTAGACTTGCTTCATTTGGGGTTTTAGCATTGCAGGGAGGACTAGGCTGTAGGGTAAATAATCAGTCTAAGTAAACTTAGGCTCAGTATTATCCGTTACACTGCTATACTGAGTCTAACAAAACCTTATAGAAGGTCGAGTCAGCTAACCTTTTGGACTGGCCAGTCGGAACACAGCTTACCAAATCGCGAAAGTTAACATTCGCACATACCTAAAAAACTCGAACGATTCCGAATGCTATTTTCCGCACGATTGCTTCCGAGTGATACACGCAATGAGTAAACAGTCGCTGAAAATAGCGTTTTTGTCAATATTCAAGGATGTCATCTTGCGAAAATATAAGCAAACAGTAACCATGTCATTAGAAACCTATTAGCGTATATACTGAAGGTCAAATATCTGTGTTTTATGTGGAGTTTCGTTTGTTGATAGATCAGTGTCAGCGACCAGGGAAGAGAAACTTCAAAAACCGTTTTGTAAGTCCCGCCGAACCCTAACAAGTAGTCGTGGTCTGATTGGTTAAATCCGTTAGGCCGTCTCGCGTTTGATGGGACGGTCATAGGTCCCTCAAAGGTTAGCTGACGCGACCTTCTATAAGGTTTTGTTAGACTCAGTATAGCAGTGTAACGAATAATACTGAGCCTAAGTTTACTTAACTGCACTGCTATACTGAGTCTAACAAAACCTTGTGGAAGGTCGCGTCAGGTAACCTTTGAGCGACCTATGACCATCCAATCAAACGCGAGACGGCCTAACGGATTTAACCAATCAGACAACGGCTACTATTTAGGGTTTGGCGGGACTTACAAAATGGATTTTCTCTTCCCTGGTCTCCAACACTGATCTCATAACAAATGAAAACCCACATAAAACACAGATATATGACCTGCAGAATATACGGTTTGGGGTTTCTGTTGACATGGCTAATAGCTAAAATTTCCGCAAGCTGACATCCTTGAATACTGACAAAACGCTATTCTCAGCGACTGTTAACCACTCTTGTGGCGTGCTCCATGTGCATCCCTCGGAAGCGATCGTACGGAAAATTGCATTCGGAATCGTTCGGGTACAAAACTTTTTCGAGGTAAAAGTTCAAAAGGTATGTGCGAATGTCAACTTTCGCGATTTGGTAAGCTGTGTTCTGATTGGTCCATTGAAAAGGTCAGCTGACGCGACCTTCCACAAGGTTTTGTTAGACTCAGTATAGCAGTGTAACGAATAATACTGAGCCTAAGTTTACTTAGACTGGGAAAATAATATGGTTCAGGGATTGTGAGACAGACTACTCTTGGTAATTAGTTTCCACAAAAGTCGATGATCAAGTCAGTGATCGATTGATTGATAAATGCATCGATTTGGTCGTTGTCTTACTCCAGTAATATCACAAATGCATGAAAATGACTGGAAGACAAAGGCTACTGGACAGGAAAACCAGTGGTTGATATTATGACGACCCTTCACATACGGTGTACGATGATAAGGATCAGCCATGTTGTTAAAACCCACGAGTACGACTTAATGCTGACAAACCCGAAAACATAATCTAACCGACTCTGGGATTGAACCCAGGGTCATGGGTTTCTTGCTGCAACCAGTGGCGTGGTAGACTCACGTGCCACTGTTGTAGCGGGTGAAGTTCAGCACCCACTCCTCTCCTGTTGTAGCCAGTCGGTTGGCCGTCCACACCCTCACAGGCTCGAACACGCACCCCTCGGGGGTGGTGAACTGGTACAGGTCGGGGTTGTTGTTAGGGATGGTTGTTTCCAAGGAGACCTGAAGTCAGTAAACTTTATACAACCGACAATACACGGCACATTTTTTCGATGTAATAATAATAATAATAATAAATAAATGTGAACTTATAATGCGCCTTTTCCATGCACAAGGCCCATGCTCAAAGCGCTAACAAAGTGAGTGGATAATAATACATATATACAATAAGGGACTAGTTGCTAGTCATAATGCAGTGAAAACAGATGAGTCTTGAGAAGTCGTTTGAAGGAATAAAAGTCAACTGCTGATTTAATGGTGATAGGGAGAGAGTTCCAGAGTAGAGGGGCAGAGCAGACAAAGGATTTCCTTCCAAAAGTTTGCAGTTTGAACCGAGGCACAGAGAGTAGGTTCAGATTCTGAGAACGGAGCTGTCTTTCTGGAGTGTACGGGGTAAGGAGATCCTTCAGGTATTCTGGGCCTATGCCATTTAGGCATTTGTAGACAAAACACAATATTTTAAAGTCAATTCTTGATTTAACAGGCAGCCAGTGGAGGTTTTTTCATGACAGGTGTTATGTGTGAGCGCTTTGAAGTTCTGCTTATGATTCGGGAGGCTGTATTTTGGACATTTTGCAATTTTGATAGCAGCTTCTGAGAAATACCAAAAAGGAGGCTATTGCAGTAATCAATTCTTGATATAACAAGTCCCTGGACCAGACCGTGTGCTGCATCACGACTGATGAGATGGCGTATTCTGCCAATGGCTCGTAGATGAAAGAAGCATATTCTGCAGAGTTGATTTACATGAGTGTCCATCGCCAGGTGTGAGTCAAGTGTAACTCCAAGGTCTTTAACAGAGTCGACAGCTTGTATCTCTGCATCTGCTACCAGAACAGTTTTGGTGGTAATTTGTTTTTTGCATTTGCCTGGATCCAATAACCATCACCTCAGTTTTGTCATCATTTAACTTTAGCAAGTTGTTTGTCATCCATGACTTAACATCTTTAGTACAGTCTGTTATTTTATGAAGACCAGTGTGAAAGTCCTTGGGAGTTGAGTTTTTCTGAAGTTGAGTGTCATCTGCAAACGAATGATGGGAAATGCCATGGTTTTAATAATTCCATGCCATTCTTTTTAAGGTTTACCTTCTTGTTTAACAATATTATTGCTGTGACAGTGCACGAAAATAGGTTACAATCGTGTCATAGCAGGCGGTCACAAACCATGCGAAGTTAAGCTATGCTGGTCCGTGTTTCTAGTGATTCGGCCCTTTAACCAGGTGGCTTCGTTTAAAATGTGACTCTGTTCACCCAGCATGGAATGGGTACCCGGGAGGGTGATATGGTAATTCTAGTTCCCCGAAAACAGCTCCGGTTATATATTTCCTAGAAAGCTGAGGACAAATCAAGCGCTTTGAGCATGCATGTAGATGGATGGACATAGCGCTATATAAATACCCATATAATAATGATAATAATAATAATAAATAGCGACAGCATGCTGACTGGGGGAAGTGTCAAAGAGCCGAGCCAGTTTATTCATTGAAAATGAATTCTTCTTCTCCAGGGACTCGAAAAACGGCATCCGTAGCGGACTAGTTCAACCTGCAAACAGCTCAAGCCCGAAACGAATGGACGAGCAAACAGTTTAATCACTGAGGTGGCCGTTGTTTCTAAATAGGTTTAAGAATGTTCACCTACCATCAAGGAGGAGAGCACGTGGAAGTCGTCGGAGGAGACGAGGTAGCCGGGGTAGGAGGAGAAGGTTGATTCACTGCCCATGGGTAGCATACCTGGGGACACAAATGGAAACTGGAGTGAGTGAGTGAGTCCAGTTTTAAACCATTTTCAGAAGTCTTACACAGTGAGCCAGCTTGATGTTGGTGAAATACTGACCAAGTGATTCAGATCTCAGACGTTTACCCTGGCCGACACCCATGAGCCCAAACCTAGAAACATGATTACGGTAAATTACGGCGGATTAGAACTAAGGATCATACGTTTCTGGCAACACAAAGGGGCATAACTCTGCACAGCGAATTGAGACGCCTTTAAACGAATGGTACATTCATGTCCCTAAATACTCAGGTCAAGTAGGTATGAGGAACTGTGAGATCAGCGACTGTGACACGATGCTGGCAGATTGGAATTCGGAATCCACAGTCGGAATAGTGAAACAACACCATCACACTATGTATACTATAGTCAACCGCGTTGTTTCGACGTTGAAGGGATCTAAAAACTTCAAGTTATCGCAGGTGCGAGACAACCGCAAAATCATGACCATATATAGAAATGCAGGGAACAACCAACAGTTCGATACAACCGTGTTTGACTGCATCTAAATTGGTTTTTGTTTTGTGAAAAGTTTATATCCTTTTCGGTTGTTTTGTTAAGACCACATACATATATTTCTTGTTTCTCGTCCCTTTTTTTGGAAAAATTGGGCAGCTTGGGCGGATTCTATTTATATTTTTAAATATTTTTGTCTGATTTTTTTAGGGGGCGGTGGGGTAGCCTAGTGGTTAAAGCGTTCGCTCGTCACGCCGAAGACCCGGGTTCGACTCCCCACATGGGTACATTGTGTGAAGCTCATTTCTGGTGTCCCCCGCCGTGATATTGCTGGAATATTGCTAAAAGCGGCGTAAAACCTCACTCACTCACTCAGATTTTTTATACAATGTTAGTTGAAAACTTGGATTGCCTAAGCTGAGGTGGGTTTCTTGTTCACAGAAGTCTGTCGTCTTTATACACGCAAATTTACCAGTGCTAAAAATATCTTAAAAATCAGGGTCGGGCAGTAATGAGAAACAAGAAATAATTTCCATGTGGCCTAACTTTGTTCATACACTTGTAGTTAGGTGGGTTTCTTGTTCACATCTGTCTGCGGTGTTGTCGTCTAGATAGTGTCATCGATGCGATTGACGGATCAGGTAAACCTTTCATAATCACATTTTTTTTTAAATACGTCATATATTTTCTCAGTGAAGTATTGCAGAACCTTGCCAGGCGTACATGTCCCTGCCCATAAACATAGCAACAGCTGTTTTGCCACGTTATTGTTAATGTATTCATACGCTGGTTAGTTAGTGAAGTGATGCCATGTCTTCAAGGGATAACGAGCTTATTACCGTTGTGCTTCCGCATAGTTCATATCATCTAAGCTGGGACTAATATATGTACTCTCAACTCCAATAATCAATTTTGTATTTGTAATATCGGACATAGCGCCAGGTCCAATCTCGACTATTTACAGATTGCCGCCCTACAGCTGGGTTATTTCTGAATGAGGCCTAAAACAACAAAGCCAAATAATTTCGGTTGACCTTCGCCTTACCCTTCTTGGTGTTAGTAAGGCAGTACTGCAGGGTGTATCTCTTGAGCATGCGCACCATGTTATTGTAGCCCGTCCACGTGTTGTGGGCGACTAAGACGTCCTTGTACTCAGGGTTAATTTTGACGATGGCGGAGCAGTGACCACGTCGTGGCTGGTCGACCGTGACGCCGGGTTTGTGAAGTGCCACCTCCAGGTCCTCCACGTCATCGCTGATCTGGAACATACTGGGCACGGGCGAGGGACAATATAGCAAACAGAAGTCTGGAACATACTGGGCACGGGAGAGGGACAATATAGCAAACAGAAGTCTGGAACATACTAGCAAACAGAAGTCTGGAACATACTGGGCAGAGGGACAATATAGCAAACAGAAGTCTGGAACATACTGGGCACGGGAGAGGGACAATATAGCAAACAGAAGTCTGGAACATAGCAAACTGGGGGCACGGGAGAGGGGCAAGGAGAGGGACAATATAGCAAACAGAAGTCTGGAACATACTGGGCACGGGAGAGGGACAATATAGCAAACAGAAGTCTGGAACATACTGGGCACGGGAGAGGGACAATATAGCAAACAGAAGTCTGGAACATACTGGGCACGGGAGAGGGACAATATAGCAAACAGAAGTCTGGAACATACTGGGCACGGGCAATATAGAGATGTCTGGAACATACTGGGCACGGGCGAGGGACAATATAGCAAACAGATGTCTGGAACATACTGGGCACGGGCGAGGGACAATATAGCAAACAGATGTCTGAAGTGATCATATATCTGAATCATCATTGACGAATTGTACCCGGTATTCGTGACATATCGCGTGTTGTCACAGATCACAGACACATTCATTACAAACCCGTGAAGACCCGAGTTAGAATTGTCTTTAGCAACTCATGATTGTCGTACGAATCGACTATGACGGGATCGGGTGGTCAGGCTCGCTGACTTGGTTGACACATGTCATCGTATCCCAATTGCGCAGATCGATGCTTATGATTTCAATCACTGGATTCTGTGGTCCAGACTCGATTATTTACAGACAACCGCCATATAGCTGAAATATTGCTGAGTGCCACGTTAAACAACAAAGGAACTGAACATTCTTTTAGGTTTAACCGTGTTTTTCTTTGTTTCTTGCAGATCCAGTGGAATCAGTATTCCAAGACAGGCTATTCTCTGACGGTCACAGTCTATATTTACAGTTTTGTATTGCTATGGCAAGATCAACTGGGAACCAACAGAGACATACTACTTCAATGGTACTCGAATTCACGATGGATATTTTACTCCATCGGTGTATCTCTCATCGGTGTACTCCATCGATGTTTTTAGCCTATAGTACTTACATTCGGAACTTGCCGATTACCTTCGTTTGCAAGATACAGAAATCAGAAACGCAGGTCTGAATGCTTCGTTCGCTGATCGAAGAAAAAAATCACCTGTCCCGACTTTTTATGGGGTGTTTTGAGATCTTCAGGCAATTAACGTCTAGGATTGAAAGGTCTAACTTCTTGAGCTTTTGTTGTACTTACTACAATCCGAATGGGTCTATGTCCAGGGACGGCCTCTGGGGGTCGTTGTTGTAGCCGTCGGTCATCCCCCGCAGTTGCGTGTAGAACATCTCAACCTGGGAGTCAGAGAGTCAAACGTCACACACTCGGATACTCTCGGCAGTTTCCGCTACCTACACATAACTTGGACAGCTTACAGCATTGACAGTCAATTCATTTACCACGTGTTCTCCCAAACAAGGCGTTGTTAGCTCACGATGATCGTAAGCATATGTGCGGCGTAAAACTCACTCACTCACTCATTTCATACAGTGTCACTTCGTGTGCGGGTGAACACAGCCATACCTTGAACGATATCACATACTTAAGGAGACTACATACAGCTGTATAACATTTATACTTCAAGGGCTTGCCGCGTGCCCATCCAACTACTATATGCCACATGATTTGTGAAATCATTCACAGGTTCGTGGATCACTAAGTGTAGCCTAGGGCTGTAACGATGCATCGAACTATCGATGGATTGCAATTAATCGATGGTAGAAACGAAAAATTATCGATGCATCGATAGTATGTGTGACTATCGATAGTTTAGTAATTGACTTCCGTTGATAAATGCGTAGCGCAAAATACAGGATGTACCAGCTTCGGTCACTTTGATTTTAAGTTATCCACCCAGTTACCTATAAACTGTTTACTTGATCTGGGTTTCAAGTTTCTTATCAATCATCAAAAGAGACTGAAACTACTGAAACTTGTTTTATTTCATATAAACTATACATTTATTTGGGAAATGACTTGAAATGAGACAATTCAAGGAGAAAAAAAAACTATTGCAATAGTATTGCAATAGTTGGTCGCAATAGTTATTTCCCCCTCAATAGTACCCCCTAGTGTAGCCCATTTCGGGTGTCCCCAGATTTGATGTTGCTGGTATTTGCTAAAAACGGCGTAAAACTAAACGCACTCAGTCGTGGGTCACCACGAGACTTATCAATCGGCGCCGATGCCTCGAATGTATAATGCCTCGAAAACACGTCATCTTTTACAACTCGGTGTCACGACAATTTCGACGATGTGTCCTTGAAGGCAAGTTTCTGTCAAGAACCCAATCTCAGAAATCTACCTGAAACTCTTTTTTGGGAGAGTAACATAACGCAAACGACACATCTAGCGTTCGAACTACAGCTGTGGCGTTCATGATACTCCCTCACTCACTCACTTACCTGATGCCAGTAGGGGTCATCAGGGTTGTTTTTGATGGAGGTTCGAATCCAGTTAAGGTTGGTCTCCAGGAAGTCGCGCAGACGCCGACAGTAGGCGGAGTAGGGTTCGTCACAGTAGCCGGCCCTGGTGTTCTGCCAGTGCATGGTGATGAGGTCACGTGTGAGGTAGCCTTCGACCAGTCCGGCAGCGTAGGCCAACATGGAGTCGTTGTGCTTCTGATGGTATTCATAGAACGGCGTTCCCACCTCGAGATAACCCCATCTGTGAACGGAACACATCAGTTAGGTGGAATACGAAGAATACTCGAACATAGTGAACCGTCGGATGTCACGAATAGTCGCATTAAGTAAATATACATGGCTAAAGGGAATGGTTGGTTATGACGAATAGACAATATCGAATAGAAGACTTGATAGGACGCAAATTAACAGAAACAAATGCTGAATAATTGCTCCTGCTATAGATCAGATGAACTATTTGAGAGGCATTCGAGGAGCTGTATGTGAGTGAGTGAGTTTAGTTTTACGCCGCACTCAGCAATATTCCAGCTATGTGGCGGCGATCTGTAAATAATGGAGTCTGGATCAGACAATCCAGTGATCAACAGCATGAGCATCGATCTGCGCAAATGGGAACCGATGACATGTGTCAACCAAGTCAGCGAGCCTGACCACCCGATCCTGTGAGTCGCCTCTTACGACAAGCATGGGTTACTGAAGACCAATTCTAACCCGGGACCTTCACGGGTCAGGAGCTGTATGTAATAGGAATGACAAGTCTTTTATGGATGATTGACTTCTTTATTGTACAATAGCGACGTTTCGGTATAGATGTTTATACAGTTTTCAAGTATGGTGAGGTCTTTCTTGGCTTTGCGGTAGGTGGTGGTGTCTTGAAGGAATTTGTCAACCAAGGTGTCAGGGTCCGGAGTGTTGCCTTTGTCAGCGGGAACTATAGCTATGCTGTTGTCTCTGCGGAGGTCGGTGATGACCTGTTGTCTCTGCGGAAGGTGTCAGGGTCCGGAGTGTTGCCTTTGTCAGCGGGAACTATAGCTATGCTGTTGTCTCTGCGGAGGTCGGTGATGACCTGTTGTCTCTGCGGAGGTCGGTGATGACCTGTTGTCTCTGCGGAGGTCGGTGATGACCTGTTGTCTCTGCGGAGGTCGGTGATGACCTGTTGTCTCTGCGGAGGTCGGTGATGACCTGTTGTCTCTGCGGAGGTCGGTGATGACCTGTTGTCTCTGCGGAGGTCGGTGATGACCTGTTGTTTCTGTTCTTGAGATGTTGGTCGCTCTGGCTTGGACTTCTCTAGGATGTCAGCAATCTGGTGGCGGAGAAAGTCGATCTTACCACCAGGTGCCCGATCCTGAAGACCCTTCTCGATGTTGACGATGATGTCATCGTGGTTGCGTGGTGGTTGGGGACGAACTTATTTACAGATAAATCCGTGAAGATCCGGGTTAGAACTGATCTTCAGTAACCCATGCTTGTCGTAAGAGGTGACAAACGGGATCAGGTGGTCAGGCTCGCTGACTTGGTTAACACATGTCATCGGATCCGAACTCCGTATATCGATGTTCATGCTATTGATTCCTGGATTGTCTGGTCCAGATCCGATTATTTACAGACCGACGCCATATAGCTGGAATATTGCTGAGTGCGGCGTAAAACTAAACTCCCTCAATCACTATTTACAGATGATGAGTGGGTTTAGTTTTACGCCGCTTTTAGCAATATACCAGCAATATCACGGCGGGGGACACCACACAGTACCCATACGGGAATCGAACCCGTGTCTTCGGCGTGACGAACGAACGCTTTAACCACTAAACTAATATCATACTCACTTAAGCATCGTGCATCTTGCGATAGTGTGACAGTGGTAGTACAATCAGAGGTACCCTATCGAAATGTAACTGAGTACAGAGCAGTGATTATAGGTTTCCCACAACAGAGGGACTCGACGTAACAATTCATGAACTCAAGACTTTTGTCTATGGGAAGGTTGTCCCTCAAAATGATCAGGTACCTCGTACCACACAGTGGGACTATAACATCCTCGACAGAGCATTCAGTAATCTTAAGAACAGCTGCACATCCAATAACAATACAAACTTCCACAAAAGAAGTTCAAATACATTGATAATTGATGAAAAAGATATATTTTACAAATTGAGACACTCACATAGGAAACGTCTGTCATGTGTTACAGTACTTCCTGTCTTAGTGCCCTAGTTATGCATTAATTCTGGTGCAGCAGCTTCGTAGCGGGGTACAGGGATTACATACAGCTATTATCTCACATCAAATATCTCTAATCCCTGCCGTACGACGGTACGCATGCTTTGTGACGTCATACCAGCAGGGACAATGATCTTTAAAGTTGACATGTGCACGTTTCAGGGAAAGGATACGAATATTATATACATAATAAGAAATCATAACATTATGACAAGACACGAAATCGTGTTTGCGATTATTTTGTGGATTTCTCTATATATGTTCTGCCGTACACTGCTGAACCTCCCCTCCACATACATATTTCCGTTGTTCATTTGGAGAAATTACTATAAAGTGTAATGAGTTTTTGCCGTTTTAAGCAAAATTCCTGCAATATCATGGCAGGGGACATTAGAAATGGGCTCCCCTAACTTGTAATGAAAATTATGTACATTCAAAATTCTTTTTGCACCACATCCACGCTCGTTGCCACAAAGTAGTAAAGGTCTGAGAAATTCATTACTTCGGGATTCCTTCCCACATTCAGCAGACACGCTAATATATATGGAATACCGCCCAAAGTGGTGGGAAATTCAAAACTATCGCACTCACCCATATATAGCCAAAATGTGACGATGAAATTTCAAACTTCTTTGATATGCACCATTATGTTGAACATCTTCAACCATTAATAAATATATCACAACTCTGACGGATAAGTGAGTATGTACAGCAAGTCGGAAGAAATGTTGATAAACGAATTTGATAATACTTTCATTACTTGGACAGAAAAGCCGTGTAAGACACGGACAGTTAACGAATATATTGGATTTTAAAAGCCCAAAACCTTACAGTTTGTGAAAACGTCTGGTATGAGCAATGTTTAATGTCCAGCAGATGGACCAACTACACACCCAGTTTCATTGACGGAGTTGATGAACTGTGCCCATGCTAGGGAATCATCTGCGGCAAGTCCCTCTCGAATCTGAAACCCGCCAGTTGTTTCATCAAATACGGCGTGGACGCTGACTCGATTTGCTTCCTCACCTACAACCACAGAAAGCAACACCGTCAACACCACAACAAGCTCGGTGGTCGCCATCTTGCCTGTCATGTGACTCTACTTTATCATGTGACTTTGTGAAGACAGTTGTGATGTTATCAGGCATATCACCTACAGGTTAGTGTCGAGACTAAGTGGCCTGATATTGTATTGTTATGTTGGCGATATTATTTAGAGCAAAAGTTGGATCGGATTTCGTTGTAATGACATTAAAATTATTGCAACCATTTGAGTTCCCATATTGCAGACTAAAAATATTGCATCAGTGTTTTTAAGGTACCTGAACAAAACTGATAAAGGTTATCGATATGTACCTAAGCATAGAGGGCGGTATGGATAACCTACCTATTGGTAAAAAACATTCACTCGTCATGCCGAGGACTAGGGGTGGGTATTGCAGAGAATTTTCATATTGCGAAATATAGCGATGCGAAAGCATGTATTGCAATATATAAGAAGGTTTTTTTTAACAAAACAACTACTCATAATCGAGGTAATGCTTGATTTATATAGCAAAAAAACTGAACAAAATCATTATGCTTGATTAAGCTTACTTAAAAACTTTTAATCGTCCCGCGCTTGAGCATTTCACTTTACCAACTGCATATTTTACATACCGCGTTAGTCTTATCAATAGTTCCATCTACCGTGAAGTTTTTCAACCCAAATGCTGCCATACTGAAGCTTTTGTCCTTGTATTTTGGCACCACAATAAATTGTTCGTTGTTAGGCGTCGCCAAAACTTCCGGTCTGAAAAACGGAAATATCCGAAGATTTCCATACGAAGCTTTCCGAATGCATGTCAAAATACCGGTTTTTCATGTCTGAACCGGTAAATACCGGTAAACCGGTTATATTGCGCAGCCCTACCGAGGACCCGTGTTTGATTCCCCAAGTAGGTACAATGTGTGAAGCCCATTTCTGGTGTCCCCCGCCGTGATATTGCTGGAATATTGCTGAAAGTGCCAATCAGTCTTTATTCCGGTACTCAAAAGGCCTAAGACCTATGGTGCACTACATACATTTGTTTATACACATTCAGGAAACAATATGCTTTCTATGTACAAATGCGTAAAAATATTTCTTTAGTTTTTGAACTACTTAGCAGTAGTGAAAATTTAAGCTTGTTTGGATGGACATAATATTTATCTTTTATATTTTTGCTTCGAAGATAAGTGTAGTTAGGGCATACAAGAAGAATATGATACTTGTCTTGAATTGCATTTGAATTACAGGTGAGGTGAAATTGGGTTTAACGTCGTGCTTGAGAATATATTCTCTATTTATATTTACATTTCAAAAAGTGGTCTAAAACCATACTCACTCACCTAAGCATATCGCCTAACAAATAATTGACTTATGGCAACGGTGTAACATTCGTGTAAATGATTCCAGGTTATCAAGAACAGACTCTAGAAGAGTTTTCCAGTACCCAGTTCTCCTTGTGAGGATCCTGGTGCAGGCTCCACGGTGCCAGGCTTGTCATAAAGGACGAGTAAAGAGGATCGGCTAGTTTAAATGACGCGACGGGATCGACACCTGTGTTGTTGCCCATGTTGCCAGTAACGTCTTTGTTTGGCCTAAGCCCGATTATTTACTTGTTGAATTCAAGTCAGACATTGTTGAATGCGGCGTAATACATTTCAACTCACTGATAGCTACAGTACTTCAGCTGCTTAGTGGGTTTGGTTTAACGTGGAGTGAGTGAGTATGGTTCCACGCCACTTTCAGCAATATTCCAGCAATATCACAACGGGGGACACTAGAAATGGGCTTCACACATTGTACGATGTGGGGAATTGAACACGGGTCTTCGGTGTGGCGAGCCAATGCTTTAACCACTAAGCTACCCCACCGCCCCGGTTAAACGTGGATTGGAACACGATCCCACTGACAAACCAGGGAGGTTCCCACGACTGTCACAGTATAGTGCCCCCAGCGATGCCAGTTACCATAAGCAGGACAAATCCTGGATTCAAACTACAACCAAGGATCATGGAACTTGCCAAGGGGCACAACCCTACAACACGTAAATGTCCAAAGGGACACAACTCTGCAACACGTAAATGTCCAAAGGGACACAACTCTGCAACACGTAAATGTCCAAAGGGACACAACTCTGCAACACGTAAATGTCCAAAGGGACACAACTCTGCAACACGTGAATGTCCAAAGGGACACAACCCTACAACACGTAAATGTCCAAAGGGACACAACTGTGCAACACGTAAATGTCCAAAGGGACACAACCCTACAACACGTAAATGTCCAAAGGGACACAACTGTGCAACACGTAAATGTCCAAAGGGACACAACCCTACAACACGTAAATGTCCAAAGGGACACAACTGTGCAACACGTAAATGTCCAAAGGGACACAACCCTACAACACGTAAATGTCCAAAGGGACACAACTCTGCAACACGTAAATGTCCAAAGGGACACAACCCTACAACACGTAAATGTCCAAAGGGACACAACTCTGCAACACGTAAATGTCCAAAGGGACACAACCCTACAACACGTAAATGTCCAAAGGGACACAACTCTGCAACACGTAAATGTCCAAAGGGACACAACTCTGCAACACGTAAATGTCCAAAGGGACACAACTGTGCAACATGTAAATGTCCAAAGGGACACAACCCTACAACACGTAAATGTCCAAAGGGACACAACTCTGCAACACGTAAATGTCCAAAGGGACACAACCCTACAACACGTAAATGTCCAAAGGGACACAACTCTGCAACACGTAAATGTCCAAAGGGACACAACCCTACAACACGTAAATGTCCAAAGGGACACAACTGTGCAACACGTAAATGTCCAAAGGGACACAACCCTACAACACGTAAATGTCCAAAGGGACACAACTGTGCAACACGTAAATGTCCAAAGGGACACAACCCTACAACACGTAAATGTCCAAAGGGACACAACTCTGCAACACGTAAATGTCCAAAGGGACACAACTGTGCAACACGTAAATGTCCAAAGGGACACAACCCTACAACACGTAAATGTCCAAAGGGACACAACTCTGCAACACGTAAATGTCCAAAGGGACACAACTCTGCAACACGTAAATGTCCAACACGTAAATGTCCAAAGGGACACAACTCTACAACGCATAAATGTCCAAAGGGACACAACTTTGCAGCAGCATATGGGACACCCACTTCGTAGAATTATATTGGTATGCAGCCCTGGTGAAGTTGTGATCTGCCGTAAGGGGACTGAGGGATAGAATCACATTGCACCAACCCTTTGCTGATAAGGAAGGGACAGGGGTCGCTTGCTGCTCATTTCAGCTTCAACATCTTGGGAGTCAAAGCCTGATTATTTCATCTTAGAATGTGCAAGGGACATAACTCTGCACAGCAAATCTCTTTCAGGACTTGGCTTACCTATGCATGTCAGCCGAAGGAGCATTGTATCATTTCAGCATTTCATATATAGGATACTGACCCAAGACAATTCCCAGCCAGACCTTCACCGACCGACCCATGAGCCCAGAGTACTGTTGCATCTTGTCCTTGACAAAACACTCACCTTCCTGAGTCCAGTTGGAGGTCATCACCAATGAAAGAAATCTCTACACACAGCAGCATTTGATTTCACAGCCTCCGTGACCAGGTTCAATAGGTGAAATATAACATGAACAAAATTGAAATTTGGAGAAAATGGATTTATTGTACTTTCTCAAATGATTATGGTGTATTCTACAAACTGAAAAAAAGAAATTATTTTATGTGAAGTACAAATGGTTGATTTAGAGGTAAACCTGGTAGTTACTGGTGGGTTGACTTGACATCAGACATAGTACACAAAATGTACCTAAAATCCATGAAAAACATTTTAACATGAACATACAGCCTTGAACCAAGGGAAATAACTTGACAGATCATTGGTTTAATACTGTCTTGATAGAAGAATGTATCAAACTGGTGTAAAACAGATTGTGATTTCACCACTTTCAATACTGGGCTTCAATAACAATATTCTGCCTTGACCCAAGGGAGGTAATCCAAATAATTTTTAATTTTAGTCACAGATATGATTCATTTGCTCACTAAATTCGCTGTTGATAATAAGTTGGAATAAACAAGAAGCAATTCATGGAATGTGTACATAGAACATATATTTGGGACGAAGCAGTAACTATGGTAACAGACATGGGTACTCCAGTTTGAATGATATGTATGTACTCACACCTGGTATGTCACAGTTTGTCTGTTTAAACTTTTACAATTAAAGTTGGAGAATTCAATGTAAAAATAGACCGCAGCAATGGTTTACATGTATGCTATTTTAAGAGACCGCAGCTTAAGTTGGACATTTCCAAGTAACATATAAATAGCACCTTTTGTTCAAGAGAACAAAGTTTCACTGGAGAAATACGTATAAATATAACTGATGACTCTTGTTTATGTCAGACAACATTTTAAGATGGACAATCACATGTAAATATAGATAATTGTTTAAGTGTAATTTTAGATCACAGATCAAATCTAAGGATACAAGGTAAGTATAAACTGCAAGTATTGTTACATTGTACTATACTGTAAATAACAACAGCTTAAGTCTGAGAATTATATGTAAGTAGAAACAACAACAATTGTTAAAGTCCATATCATTTCAAGAAATCATAGTAAGTTGGAGAATTACCAGTAAATATAAACATTTATTATTATTTAAGTGCACTTAGAGGACATCACAACGTAAGTCGGATTCTAAGTATAAATCACCACTGTTGTATAGGTGTACTCTATCGGTGAAGCTGCAGATTAAATTAGAGAATTGCAGGTGAATATATACTGATTATTGTTTTAATGAAATTTATTTTACAAGATCACGTTTAAGAAGGAGAATTATACGTAAATATAATAATGACTATTGTTTAACTAAAGGAGTCTACAGTTTAAGCGGTAGAAATACATGTTAGCATAAGTAGTGACTGTTTTTTTTGTAAGTAAAATGTAAGTAAACATTTGTACATACTCTCAAGCCATGAAGTTCTTGAAAGGCACTTAAAAGTTGGAACAACATGAATACATGACATGTTTTTATGGAAAAAAACATCTTTTTAGTCTTTATACAACGTTTTAGAGCTAATTATTGCTCCTTCATCACCTGATGAAGACATTTCAGAGCTAATTTTTGCTCCATCACAGTTAGCTCTGAAATGTCCTTTAAAGAATAAAACATGTCATGTTCACTCAATCCGTACCATAAATATCATGTTTTCGCATTTGTGGAGTTCCACTGGTGAATATGTGTCATAAAAGATATATCTATGAAAGACATGCAATGTGCAGGTAAACATTAATTTAAGCCCTCTGTTCTATTTGCTGTAGCTGCAACACCTTGCTATGGAGCAGTCCACTTCAAGTCCGGGATCGTTCCATTATACATCATGGGGGTGAAGCGAAACAGGTCAGGGTGACCAAAATGTGGACATTCGCTGGCAAAATCAGCCTTGCTCCACTGGAAGGGAGGTAACTGGTCATAAGTTGGTCCCGCAACAGCAATAAATGTCTTCTCAAGTCCCATGAAGTTGTTGTAGGACGTTATCTGGATAAAATACAAACATCCTGATATTATGAATACACAATGCCATTTAGACAGTGGTCAAATGTAACATGATATATTTGGGATTACACTTTCTCAGTAAAGTACAGATTCATGTACTTTTGTTGAGTTGAGTCTTATCCGGGATTCGAACCACACCCTCAGAGTCAGGTCTAACTACGGTGGCTGAAAGGGGTAAGATGGCTGACTTTGTGTGCTGCCGATTAGGTGCCTGTTGCCCTAATATTATACCAAATATAGAGAACCACTGAGGTATTATTCTTCGCTTGCTGTCCTTCCTTCTGTGAATCTAACTAAGTGTCTGTCTGTAAGTCCGTTCATTTGTCTCTCTAACTACCTCTGTCCATTTAGCTACATGTCTGTCTGTACACGTATTTGTGTCCTGTCTGCCCATCTGTTTGCTTCCCATCTAAAATCTGTCTGTGTGTCCATATATCTGTCTGTGTGTCCATCTAACATCTGTCTGTGTGTCCATCTAACATCTGTCGGTGTGTCCATCTAACATCTGTCTGTGTGTCCATCTGACATCTACCTGTGTGTCCATCTAACATATGTCTGTGTGTCCATCTAACATCTGTCTGTGTGTCCATCTAACATCTGTCTGCGTGTCCATCTAACATCTGTCTGCGTGTCCATCTAATATCTACCTGTGTGTCCATCTGACATCTACCTGTGTGTCCATCTAACATATGTCTGTGTGTCCATCTAACATCTGTCTGTGTGTCCATCTAACATCTGTCTGTGTGTCCATCTAACATCTGTCTGTGTGTCCATCTACCTGTGCGTCCATCTAACATATGTCTGTGTGTCCATCTAACATCTGTCTGTGTGTCCATCTACCTGTGTGTCCATCTAACATCTGTCTGTGTGTCCATCTACCTGTGTGTCCATCTAACAAGTCTGTGTGTTCATCTAACATCTGTCTGTGTGTCCATCTAACATCTGTCTGTGTGTCCATCTAACATCTGTCTGTGTGTCCATCTAACATCTGTCTGTGTGTCCATCTAACATCTGTCTGTGTGTTCATCTAACATCTGTCTGTGTGTCCCTCTAACATCTGTCTCTATGTCCCTCTAACATCTACCTGTGTGTCCATCTAACATCTGTCTGTGTGTCCATCTAACATCTGTCTGTGTGTCCATCTAACATCTGTCTGTGTGTTCATCTAACATCTGTCTGTGTGTCCCTCTAACATCTGTCTGTATGTCCCTCTAACATCTACCTGTGTGTCCATCTAACATCTGTCTGTGTGTCCATCTAACATCTGTCTGTGTGTCCCTCTAACATCTGTCTGTGTGTCCCTCTAACATCTACCTGTGTGTCCATCTAACATCTGTCTGTGTGTCCATCTAACATCTGTCTGTGTGTCCATCTGACATCTGTCTGTGTGTCCATCTAACATCTACCTGTGTGTCCATCTGACATCTACCTGTGTGTCCATCTAACATCTGTCTGTGTGTCCATCTAACATCTGTCTGTGTGTCCATCTAACATCTGTCTGTGTGTCCATCTGACATCTACCTGTGTGTCCATCTGACATCTACCTGTGTGTCCATCTGACATCTACCTGTGTGTCCATCTAACATCTGTCTGTGTGTCCCTCTAACATCTGTCTGTATGTCCCTCTAACATCTACCTGTGTGTCCATCTAACATCTGTCAGTGTGTCCATCTAACATCTGTCTGTGTGTCCATCTAACATCTGTCTGTGTGTCCCTCTAACATCTGTCTGTGTGTCCATCTAACATCTGTCTGTGTGTCCATCTAACATCTGTCTGTGTGTCCATCTAACATCTGTCTGTGTGTCCATCTAACATCTGTCTGTGTGTCCATCTAACATCTGTCTGTGTGTCCCTCTAACATCTGTCTGTGTGTCCATCTAACACATCCTGTCTGTGTCCATCTGTCTGTGTGTCCCTCTAACATCTGTCTGTGTGTCCCTCTAACATCTGTCTGTGTGTCCATCTAACATCTGTCTGTGTGTCCATCTAACATCTACCTGTGTGTCCATCTAACATCTGTCTGTGTGTCCATCTAACATCTACCTGTGTGTCCATCTAACATCTACCTGTGTGTCCATCTAACATCTGTCTGTGTGTCCATCTAACATCTGTCTGTGTGTCCATCTAACATCTGTCTGTGTGTCCCTCTAACATCTGTCTGTGTGTCCATCTAACATCTGTCTGTGTGTCCTCTAACATCTGTCTGTGTGTCCATCTAACATCTGTCTGTGTGTCCATCTAACATCTGTCTGTGTGTCCATCTAACATCTGTCTGTGTGTCCCTCTAACATCTGTCTGTGTGTCCATCTAACATCTGTCTGTGTGTCCATCTAACATCTGTCTGTGTGTCCATCTAACATCTGTCTGTGTGTTCATCTAACATCTGTCTGTGTGTCCATCTAACATCTGTCTGTGTGTCCATCTAACATCTGTCTGTGTGTCCATCTAACATCTGTCTGTGTGTCCATCTAACATCTGTCTGTGTGTCCATCTAACATCTACCTGTGTGTCCATCTAACATCTGTCTGTGTGTCCATCTAACATCTGTCTGTGTGTCCATCTAACATCTGTCTGTGTGTCCATCTAACATCTGTCTGTGTGTCCATCTACCTGTGTGTCCATCTAACATGTCTGTGTGTCCATCTAACATCTGTCTGTGTGTCCCTCTAACATCTGTCTGTGTGTCCCTCTAACATCTGTCTGTGTGTCCATCTAACATCTGTCTGTGTGTCCATCTAACATCTGTCTGTGTGTCCATCTAACATCTGTCTGTGTGTCCTCTAACATCTGTCTGTGTGTCCCTCTAACATCTGTCTGTGTGTCCATCTAACATCTGTCTGTGTGTCCATCTAACATCTGTCTGTGTGTCCATCTAACATCTGTCTGTGTGTCCATCTAACATCTGTCTGTGTGTCCTCTAACATCTGTCTGTGTGTCCATCTAACATCTGTCTGTGTGTCCATCTAACATCTGTCTGTGTGTCCATCTAACATCTGTCTGTGTGTCCATCTAACATCTGTCTGTGTGTCCATCTAACATCTGTCTGTGTGTCCATCTAACATCTGTCTGTGTGTCCATCTAACATCTGTCTGTGTGTCCATCTAACATCTGTCTGTGTGTCCATCTAACATCTGTCTGTGTGTCCATCTAACATCTGTCTGTGTGTCCCTCTAACATCTGTCTGTGTGTCCATCTAACATCTGTCTGTGTGTCCATCTAACATCTGTCTGTGTGTCCATCTAACATCTGTCTGTGTGTCCATCTAACATCTGTCTGTGTGTCTGTGTGTCCATCTAACATCTGTCTGTGTGTCCATCTAACATCTGTCTGTGTGTCCATCTAACATCTGTCTGTGTGTCCATCTAACATCTGTCTGTGTGTCCATCTAACATCTGTCTGTGTGTCCATCTAACATCTGTCTGTGTGTCCATCTAACATCTGTCTGTGTGTCCATCTAACATATGTCTGTGTGTCCATCTAACATCTGTCTGTGTGTCCATCTACCTGTGTGTCCATCTAACAAGTCTGTGTGTCCATCTAACATCTGTCTGTGTGTCCATCTAACATCTGTCTGTGTGTCCATCTAACATCTGTCTGTGTGTCCATCTAACATCTGTCTGTGTGTCCCTCTAACATCTGTCTGTATGTCCCTCTAACATCTGTCTGTGTGTCCATCTAACATCTGTCTGTGTGTCCATCTAACATCTGTCTGTGTGTCCATCTAACATCTGTCTGTGTGTCCATCTAACATCTACCTGTGTGTCCATCTAACATCTGTCTGTGTGTCCATCTAACATCTGTCTGTGTGTCCATCTAACATCTGTCTGTGTGTCCATCTAACATCTGTCTGTGTGTCCATCTAACATCTGTCTGTGTGTCCATCTAACATCTGTCTGTGTGTCCCTCTAACATCTGTCTGTGTGTCCATCTAACATCTGTCTGTGTGTCCCTCTAACATCTACCTGTGTGTCCATCTAACATCTGTCTGTGTGTCCATCTAACATCTGTCTGTGTGTCCCTCTAACATCTGTCTGTGTGTCCATCTAACATCTACCTGTGTGTCCATCTAACATCTGTCTGTGTGTCCCTCTAACATCTACCTGTGTGTCCATCTAACATCTGTCTGTGTGTCCATCTAACATCTGTCTGTGTGTCCATCTACCTGTGTGTCCATCTAACATGTCTGTGTGTTCATCTAACATCTGTCTGTGTGTCCATCTAACATCTGTCTGTGTGTCCCTCTAACATCTGTCTGTGTGTCCATCTAACATCTGTCTGTGTGTCCATCTAACATCTGTCTGTGTGTCCATCTAACATCTACCTGTGTGTCCATCTAACATCTACCTGTGTGTCCATCTAACATCTACCTGTGTGTCCATCTAACATCTGTCTGTGTGTCCATCTAACATCTGTCTGTGTGTCCATCTAACATCTGTCTGTGTGTCCATCTAACATCTGTCTGTGTGTCCATCTAACATCTGTCTGTGTGTCCATCTAACATCTGTCTGTGTGTCCATCTACCTGTGTGTCCATCTAACATGTCTGTGTGTTCATCTAACATCTGTCTGTGGGTCCATCTGACATCTACCTGTGTGTCCATCTAACATCTGTCTGTGTGTCCATCTAACATCTGTCTGTGTGTCCATCTAACATCTGTCTGTGTGTCCATCTAACATCTGTCTGTGTGTCCATCTAACATCTGTCTGTGTGTCCATCTAACATCTGTCTGTGTGTCCATCTAACATCTGTCTGTGTGTCCATCTAACATCTGTCTGTGTGTCCATCTAACATATGTCTGTGTGTCCATCTAACATCTGTCTGTGTGTCCATCTGACATATGCCTGTGTGTCCATCTAACATATGTCGGTGTGTCCATCTGACATATGTCTGTGTGTCCATCTAACATATGTCTGTGTGTCCATCTAACATTTGTCTGTGTGTCCATCTAACATATGTCTGTGTGTCCATCTAACATCTGTCTGTGTGTCCATCTGACATATGTCTGTGTGTCCATCTAACATATGTCGGTGTGTCCATCTGACATATGTCTGTGTGTCCATCTGACATATGTCTGTGTGTCCATCTAACATATGTCTGTGTGTCCATCTGACATCTACCTGTGTGTCCATCTAACATATGTCTGTGTGTCCATCTGACATCTACCTGTGTGTCCATCTGACATCTACCTGTGTGTCCATCTAACATCTACCTGTGTGTCCATCTAACATATGTCGGTGTGTCCATCTGACATCTACCTGTGTGTCCATCTAACATATGTCTGTGTGTCCATCTAACATCTACCTGTGTGTCCATCTGACATCTACCTGTGTGTCCATCTGACATCTACCTGTGTGTCCATCTAACATATGTCTGTGTGTCCATCTGACATCTACCTGTGTGTCCATCTAACATCTGTCTGTGTGTCCATCTGACATCTACCTGTGTGTCCATCTGACATCTACCTGTGTGTCCATCTAACATATGTCGGTGTGTCCATCTAACATCTGTCGGTGTGTCCATCTACCTGTGTGTCCATCTGTTCATTTGTCTCTCTCTCTGTTCAGCAGTTTGTCTGCCTACATGTCTGTCTGCAGTCCATCTAAGTATCTATTTCACTCGTCATGCCAAAGACCTGGGTTCCCAACATGGTTACAATATGTGAGTCCAATTTCTGGTGTCCCCCGCCGTGACGTTGCTGGAATATTGCTAAAAGTGGCGTAAAACTAAACTCACTCACTTACACATTGCCATTTAGAAAGTGGTCCAATGTAACATACGTTAAATTTGGGATTACACTCTCTTCGTAAAGTACAGATTCTAGTATACTAAGCAGCAAAAGAAGCGTCAATTTGGAATTTTCCTTCGCAGAAAAGGATAACTGTAAACTCATTAAATGTTCACTGTTCACAAGGACCAGCCCTATAAATGCACCCCCAAACATTCACATTACAACGTCAGCAGGATGCTGCGACTCACGACAGCTCAGAGGAACCAGGCGCTAGGAAGACTTGAAGCTGGCCACACTGCACAAGCCGTTGTTAATCACTTCCAGGTGAACGTTCGGATCATCTACAGGCTGCAGCAACGTTTCTGGGCCACCAACACCACAAATGATCGCCCCCGTACTGGCAGACCAAGGGTGACCACAAGACGACAAGACCGCCATGTTGTGCGACAGCATGTACATAATCCCTTCATGCAGGCATCCGACAGTGGGAACAGTGGGAACACACAGAAGACCAATCAGTACTGATACAGTACGCTAACGTCTTAACAGCGGGAACCTCCATTGCTGTAGACCTTACCGTGGACCTATCCTCACCCCTCGTCATCAGCGTGAACATCTACAGTTTGCCCTACAACACCAAAACTGGCGATACAGGCAATGGAGAACTGTTCTGTTCACAGATGAGAGTCGGTACTGCGTATCAACTGCAAATGGCAGAACAAGAATATGGCAACAACGTGGCCAGTGTTACTCAGACCAATGTGTTATGGAAAGAGACTCATGGGGAGGTGCAAGCATCATGGTATGGGGTGGAATAGGCCTGAACCAGAGAGTGGGTCCTGTGGTGTTCCAGAACTTTGGTCCAGGGAGAGGAGGCGGCATCACAGCGGTGCGCTACATCGACCAAGCTCTCAGACCTCACGTCATACCACATTTCGCATGTCACCGGAACAACATTTTCCAGCATGATAACGCCCGGGCCCATACTGCCAGAGCTACACGGGACTTCCTACAGCACAACGGTGTCAACATTATGCAGTGGTCAGCCCTTAGTCCTGATTTAACCCAGTTGAACATCTTTGGGATGAAATTCAGAGGAGACTGAATAATGTCATACCAAGGCCAAACACAGCCGATTTATTGCGCCAGGCCTTTCTCAGAGTGTGGTTCAAGGTGCCAATGGCCTTCATCAATCGATAGGTGCACTCCATGCATAGAAGCTGTGCTGCAGTTATTGCCGCTCGTGGTGGTCACACTAGATACTGAAGTCAGAGTCTGAATGGACTGCAAACGTTCATGGAGTGTCTTCGAATTGAGTTATTCATTGATTTGTCAAGATATTGTACACAATAAATGTTTTTGATCCGCTTATTATGTCCATTTCTGTAATGATTTGATTACAGTGCCTATCGGGATTCGAACCCACACCCTCAGAGTCAGGCACCTAATTGCAAGTCCTTTACTAAGACAATGTAATCCCAAATGTAACATATGTTACATTTGACCACTTTCTAAATGGCATTGTGTAATCACAGCTTTCGGTCGTGCGAGCCGTGCCAATTTACACTTATCAGACAGGTACACAAAGTCCCCAGTCTAAACTAGACGTTGTCTGACTTCCGTTTGTGTGGAGGCCGCGGTGGCTGAGGAGGTTAAGCGTCTGACTTTGTGTGCTGGCGATTAGGTGCCTGACTCTGAGGCTCTGGGTTCGAATCCCGGATGGCACTCAACCAAACAAAAGTACTAGAACCTGTACTTTACTGAGAAAGTGTAATCCCAAATATAACATGTGTTGCATTAAACTCACTCACTCCTGCATAAGACTTATTCCAAGTGAATACAGTGCCAGACAACCCCCCACCCCCCCAGGCATAGCTCGAGACGACCACGCCCTGGCGTATCTCCTTAATGCATGGCACCAGTCAAGGTCATACCACCATTAAACATCTTTAGGAACAAAACACAGACCTTCTAACCCTTGGACAGATGCACTACCCACTAGACCAAGCAGGTTGTACAATACAGTTATTAAAGTCATTCCCAGTTTTTGTGCAACCCGCCAGACAATAATCACCCTCTTATAATATGACATATGACATATGACATATGACATGTGATATTTATAACTTACCTTGGCATCAATGCCACCATGTGACCGATGACCCAGAGACTCAAAGGGGTACTTCCCGTCCTTGGGGTTGAGGTCTGAGCGGGCAGAGATGGCATTCTCAGCACTGTATGGTGGGGTACAGTTACAGCGAGAGAGAGGATCATGGGTGTAGTCATTGTATCTGGAAGTAACCATGGTAACCAGAGATGCAGCGTGACAGAGTAGCAGATACCTGACACAGATACATGTTCAGCTGCCAGCGAGGATACAGACATACGTAGTGAAATTCCAGTCTTATTATGAAGGTTTTCAAATATCACATGAGTCTTGCTCAGATTTTGACAATAATTCCATTCCAGTGGACATCATAAATCTTAAAACATTTTGCAGCAAATAAAATACAAAACGCTGATTACAGCAAATTTACAGGAAACTGACAGTGGAGCATGATGAGGGTCCGAATCCCACATTGTATCAATATGGGGAAACAAACCTAGGTCTCCAGTGTGATAAGCAAATGCTTCAACCACTGGGCTACCCTGTGTGTGTAACTTGATGTAGACCTTTTGTCTTCCAAAATGCAGATCAGGGGCGGATACAGCTTTTTGAGAAAGGGGGGGTGCACACTATTGAGAAAAGGAGGGGTGCACACTTCATTTCCACCCGAGTTTCAATGGTCATTTAACAAACTTTCAGCACAAAAGGGGAGGTGCGCACCCCTGCACCCCCCTCTGGATCCGCCTATGAAGATTGGTTGTCAGGAACAACCTATGACTGTAAAACTCTCCTTCAAAATAGAATTCTGACACCTGTCAAGCTGGTCCATTTATTGTGTGCACATGTATATATCTTATATGTATACATACAGTGTTTAGGGGTTTCGCACATTTCGCCTAGGGGTTTCGCACATTTCACCTAGGGGTTTCGCACATTTCACCTAGGGGTTTCGTACATATCGCCTAGGGGTTTCGCACATTTCACCTAGGGGTTTCGCACATTGAAACAAACATTCAGTACACCTATGAAACCAAAACAAACAGTGAAATCACCATAGTCTCAGCAGACACTATGACCCCTATCTTTTTTTTTATAATTTTATTGTTTTTAAAGATGTTTTACAGTCTATTCCGAAAAATGACCCCTATCTTGGTTCCTTCTACAGCAGGTTGACCTAGATTGCCACTGCACGTCAGTCCTACATGACATTACCTCATGAGTTTCATCATGGAGTCGATGTCCTTCACCTTGGAGTGGTCTCGGCGGAAGATGTTGGCACGGGCGGTGTGGTCATAACTGAACCATTCACCGTATTTCTTCACATTCGCCGGTCCCCCGCTTGCATTGAAAATCTCCGGGAAATATCTGAATTGAGAGAATTCCACATTATCTGTAGAGATCTCAGGAAGTCTTGATCTTTAGCAAGTTGCCCATAAACATATTTGTTGTTTTACACGTGATAGTGGGAAAAGTACAAAACATGTGCAGAACTAGTTTTCGATTCAGATCATCGTACCTAGGACTTATCTAGACATGCTCGGAGACCGACATTTGGCTCCGAGTGTGCAGCAAATGTCATTAAAATTTCAAAGACTAAAAATACACATTTCTCAGTTCCTCTGTAATAGTGACGCTATAGTCTGTACAGATGACTTCACCAATATCAGGACCAGTTCACTGGAAGATGTTTCAGTGATTTTTACAACCTAATGGAATTTAATGTAATGCTATACATGTTAAATTTCAAAGCTTACGTACCTCTGAATATAGAAATATCAGAACTGTAAGAAAGCAACCTCAAATGACCTTTTCCAAGTCTGCTTCTCAAGGCCACTTAGTATGGAATGGATGTATCTACCAGTGACCAGTACTCATTGGTTGATACGCTCATTCACTCATTTGACGAAATATTCAAATTTAAACATAAATAAAAATGCTAAAAATATATTCATGTGCGAAATAATCAAATAGATGTGCAAAACAGTATTTGACATGTGAACTTTACATGTCATGTTGATGTAAATCTGGAAATATTACTACAAGTCAGCAGGCTTTCTTGTTGCTATTACTACCAAGACAACGAATCTGACTTCAGATACTTACGCAACATTGTAACTTGCAAAATAGCCCTTTGTTTCCAGTAAAGACGTCAAGTCAGCATATTTGATCATACCCCTGGCAACACAGAACAGCAGCAGTGGTTAGACAAGTTTGTTTTTTAATGTTGCAATCAGCAACAATCCAGTTACATGTAACACATGTTATATTTGGGATTACACTTTCTCAGAAAAGTACCAATTCTAGTACTTTTTGGGGGTTGATTCAGCGTTCGAAATACCTGCCTGCCCGACCGCCCTGGACGGGTTATTTTCAACACAGTCTGCCAGATTCTCAAATTCACCTGCCCGACGGTCGGGTTCAAATTTAGACATGTAGTATGAAGATATTTTGTGGGCAGGTAAGTTTTGGTCAGGGCTGGTTAGATGTAAAACTTGCCAGCCCTGACCAAAACTTACCTGTGGTCTGGCTGAAATTTTTGGGAGTTTCATACCCTGTTTGAGTTCCATTAGCGCTTCGAACCTGCACCCTCAGTGTCAGGCACCTAATCGCCAGAACACAAAGTGAGCCATTTAGTCGGCTCAGCCTCAACGGCTTCCACAAGAATGGATGGAACTCAACCCAACAAAAGTACTACTAGTTACTACTAGAAGTTGTAGTACTTTGTGTAATCCCAAATATAACATATGTTACGTTGACCACATTCTAAATGACATTGTGTATTCATGCAATTACATGACGGCGGCCTGTAGGTAATATCGTCTACATCAGACAACTCAGTGACTGACATCCAAAGCATGAACATCTGTATTTAGGATACAATGAAGTCAGCAAGTCTGGCCACCCAATCCTCTTAATTCTTGCTAAAAGCATGGGTTGCTAAAGATCAGTTATAACCCAGATTTTCACAGGGAGTTTCTCAAGTGAGTGAGTGAGTGAGTTGGGTTTTCACCAAGCAATATTCCAGCAATATCAATATCACCAGAAATACTCTTCCCACATAGTACCCAAAGGGGGAGTCAAACCCCAGCCTTCTGCTGGATAAGTGAACGCTTTAACCACTAGGCTACCTCACCACCAAATTTGCACAAGTACTCACAAAAATAGATTTTCATTCTTCTAAAGCAAGGGAGTTTACAAAGCTGAAACTGGATTCCAACAAAAGTTGTGGCTAATTAGTCCAACTCTTCAAGGTGGAAGCTCTGCCCCAAACCATGAAAACAAGCATTACCAGTCCCAGACTTCAGCGCTACTTAAGGACACAAGACCCCAAACAAACGCTGGTCATAGCTTTACTTACGGAATCTGCTCCAAGACAGTCAGAAGACCTGAATTCAGTGACTGACTTTTTGGTGAGAACCTCTTCATATCGACAACCATCCACATGTTGTTGTACCTGGCAACCATGGCAACAGATACAAGTGATGTCATTACAGATACATTGTAACACACAAGAAACATTCTAGATTCAAAGAACATTCCTAGTTCCATTAAATACTGCTCCTGGAAGCTTGACATGTTTGTTTCTGCATCCAGGCACAAACTTGAGCCACAAATCCTGTAACCCACCAGATTTTTCAACATACCAAATCCTCTCAGAAAGGTCATATATGGACAAAGATCAACCATTAGGTGAACTTGAGATAAAACTAAAATGGTTGTAGTCAAATATTTAGAAGTTAAGGGACCGTTCATAATTTATGGCTTGGGTGTGTGTGTGTGTGTGTTTGGTTTATTTATTTATTTATTTATTTATTTATTTATTTATTTATTTTTTTTTTTTTTTTTTTATTTATTTATTTATTTTTTTTGGGGTGTGTGTGTGTTTGGGTTCACCCATTTTGTTCTTGGGAGGCAGGGGGGTTATCAATTTGGTACACATGTACTGGGGTGTGTGTGTGTGTGTGTGTGTGTGTGTGTGTGTGTCCAGCAATTATGTACTTAGAAATATTAGAAAAATTATGGGAAGGTAGGGGGGTCATTGATTTTGTACATGACATGCACGGCGGGGTCACTTACTATGTACATAAATTTTAGGGGGGTCATTCACATTGTACGTGCTTCTCCATGAAAATCATCATCACCCACCCCCCTAGCCATAAATTATGAATGGTCCCTAATTACTTTTAGATAAAACAACAGACAAGAAGATTCTGAAAGCATTACCTAAATAAAGGACATTTGACATATTAATGGTCAACTTATTGTACCATGACACTGAATATATCAAGTATGGCATAGAACTATGCTCATTATCCTCACAGCATCTCTAGAGGAAAGTGTTTCATAAGTGTACCTATTTTTAAACCATGGAGTAATCTCCCTTACGTTGATTAGGAACCATGGAGTAATCTCCCTTATGTTGATTAGGAACCATGGAGTAATCTCCCTTAAGTTGATTATGAACCATGGAGTAATCTCCCTTATGTTGATTAGGAACCATGGAGTAATCTCCCTTACGTTGTTTATGAAACATGGAGTAATCTCCCTTACGTTCCACTGTTTTCTTGGGAGAAGTAGTACGCCCACTCCACTCCTGCTGTTGCCAGTCTGTTTGCAACCAAGGACCGGACACCTTCAAGAACTGACTGGGGGGTCACGAACCTCCATAGGTCATTGTTGCTGTTTCCTATAGTAGTTTCCATGGAAATCATCCCAGACGACAAGTGGTAGTAGTCGTCCCCGGACATTATGCTGCCAGGGTAGGAGGAGAATGTCATCGTGTCCCCCGGAGCAAGAACTGGGAGGGGAGGCATCATCATCATCATCATAATTCTGATAACACGATTACTATGACTTTATTAAGTCTACTATTTAGGCAATGTTTGGTTGACATAACTGTTTTCATCATAATAAGCACAGTTAAGAAATTGATAAAGTGGTGTACCTTTAACAAAAGTGGTGTACCTTTAACAAACAAGCATGCTTATCATATTTCTTGGTAAAACAACTGTTTCTGAAGGCAGTGAAAAATGACCCTGTTAAATACACGAGAAGTGACGAACAGTCGAACGTCCTTAATGAACAGAATGTCTTAAATAAACTATTTCACACTATACTTAGATAGACAGACACACAGAGACAAACACAAAGACATTCACACATGCATGTACGCTGTATACGCAATATTCCTGAAAGTAACATGTTGTTATAATTCACTTTCCTTGGTCAAACTTGAAGACGATTACCGTCTATCCCTTTTTACACTGTTCCCCAAAACAAGAAGTAAAGACGCTGGCCAGCACCATGACGTGAGTACTGCATTCAGACAGTGTCCTTACCGTTCTGGTGGCCCGCAGCTGTAAACCCCAGTTTGTATCTCTTTAGAATCCTCAGCATATTCTGGTAGGACGACCACGTATCCTGAGCTACAAATATCTCCTCGTTCCCAGGCATGACCTTGACAAGAGCTGAACATGACCCCGAGCCAAGGATACGTCGAGGGACGGGTTTGTGCAGCACCTCCTCCAGGTCCTCGAGGTCACCACCATATTGGAAGGCGCTGCACGACACGAGGTTATATTAAGTGTTTATTGTCAATACGAGAACTTATACCATAGCTTTTATCTCTGTACTTTTCTTTGTTGCTTAACAACACACTAGGTCTTATTCCAACTCTATGACAGCTGCCTGTAAACATGAAAGTAAGATATTTTATGGATGACAATTTCTTAATTATTTTATGATGCGACATTTCTTTATTGATTGCTGCTTGATAACGGTATAAGAACCTTTACCTAACCCTGCATCATAACATAATAAGAAGTTGTCATCCATAAAGATTCTCACTTTCTTATTACTCATCAACTTCTAAAATGCCAATCAACCAGATCATGTCTGTAAACAATTGAGTCTGGACCAGACAATCAAGTGATTGGTTTCATGAAATTCAATCTACGCATTTAGGATGCAATGACTAGCAACAACAGAGTCAGCGATCCTGACCAGTCCTCTTACGACAAACATTGGTTGCTGGAGACCAGTTCGAATCTGAGAAGAATCAGGTTCTGTCTGGATACCATTACTTTATACAAATCTTCATAAATTTCATTTAATTCAGATCTTATCTTATTTTTAAAAAAAAGAGAGAAAGTTGTGTAGCAGTAGCAAGAACTGAGATCTGATTGATATCTTATGTGATATCTTATGTGATATCTTTATATAAATATACAATCTAAATGATAAAAATAAGTGGTAATTTACAACGCGCCAACTCCCCATGTCAAATCATTCTCAAGGCAATACATTATTACCCCAGTCAGTTTTATATTAACATTTGGTAGTTTTATGGCAGTTATACATATACATGGTAGCCTTGTAACAGAAGAAGACAGCCTTGTAACAGAAGAAAATTGTTGTACTTGTAGCCTAATAACACTTTAAAGTTCACTTTAATGCGAATGTTCACCTACTATAGGCCAAATATTTCTATGTCCATGTTGATTTGCCGAACATTGTTAGCATAGCCATCCTGGAGCCCGGCCAGCTGCTCATAGAACAAGGCAACCTGTGGCAGACAATACAACATACAGTACAATCTTAAAGCAGTAAGTTGGCAAGCAACCTTCAAACAGTATTTCCATTAACACCATCATGTAACTAAATCATGTCAACAGGAATATGTATTTAAATAATACTATTTTTACACAAATATCACATGATCACTGAACAATTATTGTAACTAATGAAAACAATCATGTATTGATTATTGTTGAACATGTTGTTAACTTATTTATATATTCTTGACACTATGTACATGGGTCAAATCTTGTTCTACGGTTTTGTTTATATTTTCTCAAAACCTTAGGTCACTGTTTGAAATAATAATAAAAACAGTAAGATACTGTAAATCAACAAACTAATGCATGTATTAAATAATGCGAGTGCAACCCTCAAAACGAAAATGCGTGCATTTATTAATGCGAGGAGGCAAATCAGGAAATGGTTGACCAGAATGACTATACTCACTAATGAGTACACTCACAACTTTGGGAAATACTATACTAGTATTTAATCCGACTCTAGTGTAAACATCTTAATTCCCCGAACACATGGGCGTTTGGATCAAAGACGGCTAATCTTACGTGGATGGCAGTTGGCAGGTCTGCTGGACGTGGTCCAGTGAGTTCAAACCATGTAAACTGGACTGTTTATTCAAAGACTGTAATACAACTTAAATGATTAGTGCTCAATCTTTCTTCCCCAGAATGTATTTTACTTGTTGATATAATATAATGTCGATGTTATTGTGTCAATAAAGGAAATTTTGTGAATCAATCGTTCGTCTTTGTTCACTGGGTTATCATGACCCAAATCCTAGTAATAACGATATCGAGTGCAAAAGACAATATGATAATGCGAGATTTATTAATGCGCTTCAGAAATAGTCGCATTTTTCGCATTAAAAAGTAGCTCGCATTATTTTATTGATTTACAGTATACTTCAATTACTTTTTATGTATTTTCATGAGTGAGTGAGTTTAGTTTTACGCCACTTTTAGCAATATTCCAGCACTATTACGGCGGGGAACACCATAAATGGGCTTCACACATTGTACCCATATTTTCACGAGACGCTCAGAAAGTGTTAGATAAGATAGAAAATCTATATTTTCAGGCATGGTTCTAACCAAAGATGAAGCTTTAAGCTAAAAAGATTTTCCCTGACAATTCTGATATTTTGAGGCCACATCTCTAAAAAAAATCACTAACAATATAAAGAAAACTTGAAAAGAAAATTAAACCTTGCACAGCCGATGTTGAACAGCAAGTATAATTTATGATCATTAATAATAAACACTAAGATTCTTTCCTTGTTATCTTAAAATAGATTTAATAGGATATTTCAGTCGTGCAAATCATCCCCCTCCTCAAGGGGTGGATAAAGGATTTTGGAGAATAACCCCCCTCCTCTGGATCCGCCCCTGCCCTATTCTATTTTCCTGGTTCTCTTGTGTATTACATCTTCATCCTAATGTTATAATTCTATGGACCCATTCACGTCCACAGCTTCTTTTGTGTCAGAGTCTCCATCTCTCTTATCACTAACCAACTCATGGTTTCCTTCATTCACATTGTAATCCATTCTCTTCCCACAGAGGTTACTTGTCATATCTTCCTACGAACCTCTGTTCTAATACGGCCATATTTCCCGGTTCTCGTAAAATCCCCTAGCGGCAAAAGATCGCAAGATGAATTATCTCCCTTCTTTCTATCCAATCAGAACACCTGTTACATCGACTTAGATTCAACTTGACTAACACAAGCAAATGTGAGGCCACAAATTTCCCCCATCTGCCGGGGACTTGTGTTGATGTTACACACAAGACTTTTAATGGCTAGCTTGTCCGTTGTCAACGAGGAGGATGGAGACGCCATAACTTTACTGAGTTCTGTCTAGAAGAAACATTTGCGCATCGCGCAGGGGAAGAGGTTTAGTTTTCTCGAAGTATACGGAAATTATCGAGGCCTTGCGAATGATCACTTTTGAAACAACGTCGCTGATTGCACAACTAAATCTGATTGCCTCCAATCACAAGTCTTGAACGCTCACACCATGGAAAGGCTGTATTAGAACAGAGGTTATGTAGGAAGATATGACAGGAGTAACCTCTGGGGGAAGAGAATGATTGTAATCTGATTGGACAACTTCAGCTAAGTGTCTAATGAAACTGGCATGGGTTTTACTGAATGGATTCAGGGTACCCAGCTTAGAGATATAACACTGTCACTAACAGTTTTCTTTGAAACAGAATATTCTCAAACACTGCAAGATGAAACTATGCCAATGCAGTGCCATGAAGAAAGATGGCTAAACCCAGGAATTTGAATTATTTCAGTTTTCTAGATTACTTTTTGTACACATCCACCAAACCACATTTTACAAAGTAGAATGAAAGTAAAATTTAACATCTAATCTTTTCTTTAATTCCTGCAAATAACTATGACAACATGAAAACATTTGCTGTAATTACATGATGCCAGTATGAATTGTCCCTGTTCTGTTGGATCTGTTCCTTAACCCAGGCCAGGTTTGTGGTAAGGAAACCCTCAAGTCGTTTACAGTAGTCACTGTAGGGCTTCTCACAGTAACCAGCAATGGTATTCTGCCACTGGAGGTTAATGGATTCCCGGGTCAAGTAACTCTCCGCCAGGCCAGCAGCATAAGCCCGCACAGAATCATTGTATGCCACATCACTTGAAGCTACAATATCCAGGAAGGACCATCTGTGGAAGGACAAGTTAAGTGGTTAAGCTGATCGGTAGAGACTATGACTATGATCACTTCAGGGGCCATTCATGCACTTATAAAAACATGACAGGGTTCATTTTTTTCACATAAAAATGGAATTATAATTCGTAAATTAATCAGGAACTGGTCAGTTATTCCGGATGGGTGGTGGTGGGATCATGACAAAAAAGTGACAATGCGGAAGGAATGACATATGATATTAATGGGGCACAAAATATGACCAAAACATTCACCCACCCCACCTCCAGTATGTGACCAGTATCTCAGGACATATTCAGGACATTTCCCAGTACATGTATGGGTTTAAGGATGACGTATGATTGTCAAACTTGTGCATAAAAAATATTTGGATGAAACTGAAACTTGAATAATGCTTTACAGTTAAAACTTAAACAGTGTTGAGCCTGAGGTTTACCCGGTCGCATTCATAGAATCCACGTAGTTCGCCGACACGACATATTTAGTTTCCACATTCTCGGAGACTTTGAATGTCTGTGTTGCATCATTTAAAATCACATAGACGGTTTTAGGACCGTTATCCTTAAGTGACAGTGTAGTGGAAAGCAATGACAACACCACTCCCAACGTACACAAGTAGGCCGCTGCCATTTTCTGGTCATATGACCTTACCATGTCACGTGAATGAGCAACCTTTGCGTTGAAACCACAATGCACCAATGTGTAATGAGTAATGATCACAACACATTCAAAAATAGTAAGAGGTCTAAATATATTTTACAAATAGTACTGTGTAAACTTCTTGAAATTTCGATACGGGTTGTAATGAGCACACATAAGGATATTTATTTTGCAATTGCTGCTCCCTAGCGGTGGGCGTGGCCAAAATGGATGCCTCCGTGATATCTCAGTTAGAGAGAATTAATGGATCAGGGAATACGTCGTGACTAATGTATTTAACGGTTATATCCCTGTCGAATCTAACTTTGCCGTAGGTGATGTATGTATCGGGAATGTCAACACTATTTAAAAGGGATCCACGGATATGCAAGACACCAGTGAGTAAACATTTAAACAGTGTATGACTGCACTCCAAATAATTATGACTACGCATTCTCAAAATGCTTTCATTGCAAGAGTCGTAAATATCCACACCCAACTTGTGAAATACGGAAAAATATGCCACTGGAATAAAGGGATTACTACCTCAGGTTTACATGTATAACGGACATTGTATGCTATTACACAGCTATCTGAGAAGAGATTCGTCATAAGATAGTGATCTACATTTCCTGTATTAGTCAAGACATGTCACCATCTGGAATTATTCATAAAACACAGTGGCGCGTCATAATGATGTAAAGAACTTAATGGTGTTGTTTTTAAATCCAAACAATGAAGATTTTAAACGACAAAGCCTTGTGTCGGTACGCCAGTTCTGGTGGCCCGTCCGATAAAGAGGGGTACCTGATGAAGAAGGGTGAGGTAAACAAGGGCTTCCAGAGGCGATGGTTCGTGCTGAAAGGAAACTTACTCTTCTACTCCGAGAAAAAAGGTGACCGAGAACCCTTGGGTGTCATTGTGTTAGAAGGCTGCACTATTGAACTTGCTGAAAATTCAGACAATTTTACATTCCAAATATATTTCCTAGGATCAAGCAGTCGAACATACATCATCAGTGCTGAAAGCCAGGAGCTAATGGAGTCATGGATGAAAGCACTTTCGGCGGCAGGATATGAATATGTGAAACTCATGGTGAGCGAACTTCAGCAAAAACTGAGAGAAGCAAATTCTGAGGAACAGAGGAAAGTGGTTGAGGAGGCTGAACGACAGAGTCGAATATTGTCCCAAACATACATCGAGAGGCAGGGTTTAGAAGTCAAAGGAAACCGTCAGGCGGTGGTTTGTGGAGACAAGAGAATGAATCCATTTAATCAGAGATTGAGTTCAGGGTCGGAGTGGGAGTCATGTGATTTGTTCAATGTGATGGAAGAAGGGGCTCCGGGGCCCTACAGTCCCCATACCAGCTGGGCTCAGAGGCCTGTCAGGTCCTTTGTGGAAATGCATGAAGAGATCATGAAACAGGTCGCCACACTAGGAGTGGAATGGAAAAAACGGCAGGCAAACATTTCGGATGAGAAGAAACTGAATGGGCAAATTGGATCCCTTGGTCCTCTCAGTTGACGTAGGCAGTGAATGACTGAACATTAATGTAGGAACAAGATACTGTAGAGCTTGTAGAGGCTATTTAACACAAGTTATAGTGTAGGGATTTAGTCATGGCACTTTTCTTGAAGAGATTTGTGAAGTTGTGTGTTTGTGCTTAATCGTTAATTCTGTGTTTGAAATTAAGGATGGAAGTCAGTGGGTCCTATTTATTACTCTTGAGGGATAAAGATGTAGACACAAGGCTCATTAAGTTGCAGCAGCCCGGCTCCACATGGACCGCTCTCCGCACCCCTATTTCTAACGCTGATATTGATGAATAAAAACATGTCATGTTTATGATTTTAAATCATTAATATCAAAGAATGTTTGTATAATGTTTTCACACATGTATTTGAATCATTCCATGAGGCTTTATTTAAAACGTTGTTTTCTTTTACAAGATTTCTGCCATGTTTAAACTATCACGTTTCATACCATCTGTACCTTTCCATAATTGTCAGACTATTCAAACTATAGAAACTAAACCTCACATTTCAGTAAACTCTTGCCGGACTGTGTGAAGTTTTTGCTTGCCTTAATCTCATTCCACTGCAAACTGAGTCCTGGTGTAAATTCCCTCACTAACTCTAAACAACATCATACGTTAGATGTAAGTGTTCTAAGCTTGATATGCCTTCATGCTCACTGTGATAACACCTTTACCATGTGTACAAAGGTTTCTGTTTGGGGTCAAGGCTGATTTTTCGTGTAAATGCTACTTATGCTAATAGTTCGTCTTTCAGGTAGGGTGTCAAAATACCTGCGTGCAGATGTACTGATGGATTGTTTTGCTCCCTTCATACCCCATTGTTAAAATCATGATTTAGATGTCTGTGGACTCAAACACCACATCATTACACCTCAAGAACCCAGAACCTCGTCAGTTTACCTACTTTACCAGGCTATATATTGATCTGCGTATGTTTACAAATATGACATTTCAAGTGTGTATGGTATTCTGTATGTAAATGAAATGTCGACCAATCAAATGATACTGATCATATCACCATGATGAGCACTAGTTTTTGTGATGGTTTCCATGGCAATAAGACGATGGGGGTTACATGTGGGGACAATGTTACCATCATTTCACTATAAGGTCACTCAATATACTAGTATTTCCAGTGTATGAAATAAGGCCCGTCCGACCGCCCGAGACGGGCTAGATTTCTGACGGACGGTCTAAATTTACAGCTAGCCAGCCCGATGGTCTGGTAAAAAATTTCTGGCTTATTTCATACACTGGTATTTCCTTCTGTTCCAATTGTGTCTATATCTTTCAAATTATGTTTGTTTGTAGGAAGTCCTTAATTAATTACTGTTTGTTAAGTTTGTTTCTTCAAAGTCTTAAATAGTAGGGGAGATAATTACATATTTGTCAAAACATGGAGTTTGATGATTTATTGTTTTGACCTTACCTCTTACGATAATATTTCATTATTGTAGCACTTAGACCATCACAACACTCATACTTTAACGTTGACTTGCGATAATCGTAGCATTAAGAGGAAGACTTGTACGACACTCATACTTTAATGCTGACTTGCAATAATTGTAGCACTATGACTTGTACGACACTCATACTTTAATGTTGACTTGCGGTAATCGTAGCACTAAGACTTGTACGACACTCACACCTTATCATCGACTTGCGATAATCGTAGCACTAAGACTTGTACGACACTCATACTTTATCATCGACTTGCGATAATTGTAGCACTAAGACTTGTACGACACTCATACCTTATCATCGACTTGCGATAATCGTAGCACTAAGACTTGTACGACACTCATACCTTATCATCGACTTGCGATGATTGTAGCACTAAGACTTGTACGACACTCATACTTTATCATTAATTTACGATTGTCATAGCACGAACATTGTAACAAGATTCAAACTCACTGACTTACGATAGTGATAGCTCGATGACTGTCACAACACTCGAACTTTTGACTTGACTTTGACTTGCAATAGTTGAAGAATCAACATTTAATTAATCCTATCATGACAAAGCACAAACTGATCAATGGGCCCAGAATCAAATGAGTTTGATCTCTTTTCATTAAAGGTATGGTTGGGAACTGGCTATTTATCATGCAGGGAAGAAGGATAGTTAGTAAAAGGTCATGAAAATACTGACACAGCAAACGAGAGCTACAATGTAAAAACATTAATTTCATGCAGGCTTCCTGGGCCTCCTTTCACAAAGCACTAAGGTGATCGTAAGTCACCAAGGTAACCTTAGTGCAGTGTTAAAGAATGGGAGTTAAGGTTAACCTTAGTAAAGGTTGCTTCATGAAAGGAGCCCCAGATCTGTAAAATAGTCAAGCTGAAAAAAAGTTTTTCCCTGGCGTCCATGGATCAGCCATTGGTAGATATACATATCACATGACCTTATTACAGTTGCGAGAGACAGGAAAACCCCAGATGGGTCACAGAGGCTATAGTCAACAAATACTGTGTTGTTAGGATAACAGTCATATCAGTGTACATAGATCAGCATTGTGTCTATCACCTTGCACAAGGAGGCATGCACTCTCATCACAGGGGGCATCTCAAAAACATTTTCAGCCTTTATAGTGTCCAGCTTTTTAGATGACGTCCAGACTGCCTCCACAATGTTTTTTAACGGGAGAGGAGGGTGGAGCTGGGTATTATGAGATGGGGTGGTGTGCAGGGGTGATCTCTCAGCAGAAGCACTGCACCACTGTCAAAAAAATATAAGATTGAATATATGCAGTTTTACTTTTTGACCATTCCCTACTGATAATTTTTTGGTTGTAAGTGTAATAAACTTCATATGTCACGTTTTCTCCTTGTCCCCGACTATTTTCCCTGGGAGAGCCATAGAGAACTGACTTTATAATGATTAGTTACACTTTTTTGTGCAGGTGCTTGTGTGGTGCATGTCACGTGCAGTGGCAGTATTTGAGCAGGGGATGAGATAAACCGGTTTATCGCCATGAAGGTTGTCATTGAGTAAAGGCTATACAGCGGGTAGAACATTGGACACAGCAGTGTTGACTCCAACAAATGGAGGAATGTTTTTCTGCCATTTGCAGAAAGGAACTTTCATTTTTATGTATTTGGGCATGTGATACTTAGACCTATATGCATTATTAGACCTTTTGCTGTGAGATGCTGTTTCTCTGTGAATGGGTAAAAGTCCTGAGTGACTGTAAAATAAATATGCTAAAATTTGATACCAGTTTGGGTGAAAATCTGAAAGGAATTTGTTCTTGGCTTTTACTTAGTTTTTTGATGTGTCTCAAAGGTGATAGTAGTTTCTTTCAACAGTTTATTGTTGCCATGAAGTGATAAGAAGAAGGATGTTCTCTAGTGTTATCAAGTGCATGCAGATGGTGAAATTATAGATTGGACTAGATGTGATATTCACTAAGGAAAACACACTGTCATATCAGTTGGGTCTCCTACACTGTGTAGGTCTCGCTGTTGATGAGATAGATAGATCTCCTCCACACCCGGTCCCTGTTGTTGTTAAACGAGTGAAGATTGGCTCAGGGAAGTTGACAGTCCCAGGAGGGGTTGGTTCATATCAACCCTAACCCTCTTTGTTTCTCTGCTCAAATGTAAGGGCTTTTTTCTCATATATAGCTCACCTCACTGGCAGTGAAGTGACTGGTTGCGATGGCCGACCCGTTCATCACTTGTCCTAGACTAAGGCTTAGTCTCTGAATATATATAATTTTGATAGTAACAAACAAGCCCATTTATATTGAAAAGGAGCCCTAGGGAGACCAGAGATTCAGAACCTGAGGAAATCTAGACTTGCTTTATTTAGGGCTTTAGCACTGCAGAGAAGGCTTGGCAGTAGGGAAAATAATGTGGTTCAGGGACTGTGAGACAGACTACACTTGTCCGTGCACTGTAGAGGTCTCCTCATTAACCCCTGTACCAGTGAAACTGAAACTAGCTGATCAGCACATTTAACATGCTGGAAGGCTGGAATGTCAGTTTGTTGCTCGTTCCCATCAGTGTTGTCACCTGAATTTATTCAAGAGGTTTCAATCGAATTTTCAACATGACCACCACAGCAGCCATATTGAAAAATCTGTTCACAGTCTTTATTTGTCCAATTTGGTTCTTAAATTTGGTATTTGTTTCATTAGATGTGGGAATTAACACATTTGTTCTTGTCTTTTTACACAATCTTTCAAACAGAGACCTTGGTTTTGACCATATTTTAATATTTTCTCAAATTGGAAGACCAAGACAGCTTTAACATCATCACATTTTGTTAAAATCATATGATTTTAGTTGTAGTTATTATATCTAGACCTAAATATGTATGCAGCAAATATTTAAGTTTCATTGCAAGCAGAAAAATTGTTTTGACATTTTGATCTGTTGACATATACAGTACCTTGGCACTACTTTTCCATGCTTATATAACCGTAGTAATAGTACTAGTCACCTAGCAACACAGATGCCCGTGTCTAGATGTGACACTGGGGACACAGACCTTCTTCACGGCCATCTTTGTCCCAGTGAGTACTGACAGTTTAGTGGATATATTTCTCTTCTGAAATATCTGTGCTGCTTATATATAGAGAGAGATTATTACACAAGCAAGTGTGTCACGTAACGTAAACTAAATGAGTGTGGAAGTTTGTATTCCCCGAACGAGAGCGAGGGTAATGCATAATTTTTCACGGGTTTCGTATAAGTGGTTTGACACAATTGCTGAGGTGAAATAATTTCTTTATTATCCTATTTATTCATGTACATTTGTGCAGTAAAACACGGTAAGCAAGTGTGACTGCCCTCTTCATTGACGTCTCTTTCAATTGTTTAAAGACGCCACAGACGACGAAATACAGAAACAATGGTTGCTAGGCAAAAGTTATGTGTGCACATATGATATGCATGACACTGGTGATGTTTCACCATGTGGGTAATGAATATATATACTGGACAAAATAATTTAGGGATATTGGTATTTTTATGATTGATATTTTATCAGTATATCAGTGAATAAATAGATCATTATTCATAATTTGAAAATTTACATATATCCCTAACTATTTTTGTACAGTATATATTATATTCTACTCAAGTTTTTTGGTACATTTGAGATAGTTTACATCAATAACCATGATTACATTGCATGAGGAATTAGACTAGCACATCACCATGTTCATTATATGGGAAAATTATACCACACACAAACCAAGGATAGTTAACACGGGCTTTCTGATTTACTGAGGTGTTAGTGATAACATACACGTATAGGATCAGATGTTGCCATGGTTACGATGTATAGGTCAGAGTTGGCTTGAATTTGTTTCTTCGAGGTCAAAGTGTCAGTTACATTCAAAGTTTAGCATTGCATCCTGAAACAGGAAGTTGTGATATTGTACCATCACCTAGTTGTGACTTAGCACCTTGATGACTTTCACCAAATTATTTCATATGTACCATGTTTTGAAGGGTGTTTGCCATATGTATAAAGAGAACCTTCCAGGAACATCTTCACCAATAATGGGGTTTTACATGTTTTGAAGGCAGGACAGCTTGTATTTCATTGACTCAGATTCTTTTCTCATTTTGACAGTTCATTGTGAAAGCCAATTTTACAAGGCCACAACAAATATATTATGTGTTTATTAGAATTGTAAGGCTGTTAACATGTTAAGAAAAGACAACCACACAAAAAAACACCCAACAGACAAATTGTTGATTTCTTTTCTTTCTTTTCATTTTGATAAATAAGTTGTTAATTTGTTATGGCCTAATATGAACATGAGGGGCGGTGGGGTAGCCTAGTGGTTAAAGCGTTCGCTTGTCACGCCGAAGGCCCGGGTTCAAATCCCCACATGGGTGCAATGTGTGAAGCCTATTTCTGGTGTTCCCCGCCGAGATATTGCTGGAATATTGCTAAAAGCGGCGTAAAACTAGAACTCACTCACTCACTCACTAATATGAACATGATGAAATTAGTTAGCGATGAAGTTAGATATGACTAGTTGTGTGTTGTTTATGAATAGTTTTTTAGGAAAGTAGCATTAATGGGAATGTGATACATGATGTGATAACAAAACTGCACAATAATACTTACGGTATATGCATAATAACAGCAACACTAACAATGATAACAAAGGGAGATAATTTGTCTGTGCTGAATATGGTCACTGGGTGTTTTCTGTAGTTCACTGTTACCATGGATACATGTATTCAGTCTTCACGATCTAAAGATAATATAAACTTCTCAGCTTGGATAAAGACGCTGTGATCGTTACTGTTTTCACACTCATAGCAACTCACTGAAGTATGAGCTCAGGTATAGTTAGTGTTTGCTAAATTATCTAATTATTTAGGTCTTCAACTTTTAATGAAGCCAAATATTTGTTATATCTATGATACTGTTGAATACTATTGGTTTGACAACAGATCTTAGGTATCTGTCACATTCAGTCCCCAGCCGGACAATCCAAGTATCCCCATCAATCATTGAGTAGTGTTTTAGGTTGTTTCTACAGATGTGATACTAGACAATCCATGGTGTGTTATCCAACAGGTACATGACTGATATTGGTTTGAAACCAACCCCTGTGTGTGAGGGGATTACAAAGAGATCACGACTGAGTTATTTCCTTGTCTCTTCTGTCAGAATAAAGACTCAGAATCAATGATATTTTTGATTTAAACATATTTTATTCATTGAGGAAAAGGATTGGGCACAAGTTATCCAACTTAATGACGCCCTCTCCCAAATCAATGATATGCTGAAAATATGTTGATTGTGTGGCTGTTCATCACACAATACACAGTTCTGAGTCTTCATGGTGCGGTGGGGTGGCCCAGTGGTTAAAGTGTTTGCTCGTCACGCTTAAGGCCCGGGTTCGAGGGTTCGATTCCCACATGGGTGCAATATGTGAAGACCATTTCTAGTGTCCCCTGCCGTGATATTGCTGGAATTATTGCTATAAGCAGCATAAAACCCAACTCACTCACTCACTCTGAGTCTTCGCATCTGTTGACCCCTGACCATGTGTCTGTTGTGAGAGTTTGTTTGTGTTGAGGAGACCATGTTCCACCATTAGTTCAGTATTAATTGTAAACATGCCATAATCAAATGATGTCACAAATGTTTCTCATTTTGAGATTTTTCTTGATTTTATTTATACAAAATGAATATTTTTTAGCAATATTTTTGTACTATTTGTAGTTAGATTCTCGATTTTAGTCTGTCAAACAATTTCGGTTTAAGATTCAACATTAAGTGTCCATAGAATATGAAATAGTTATTATATTTTGTTGTAGACTCATAATTACATATTGGAAGTTTGGCAACTATGGTATTATGTATGGTTGCTTGATCATAAAATTGTAATGTATACTTCTTCGAACAAGATAGGGAACACCACAATTGTCACAATATCAACCTGGGCCTAGATTGTAGAAGCTCTCTTAGCGGTAAGATAGTCGTAAGTGCCATACATTATCATTAACTAACGAACATCTTAGCTCTTAGAGAGCTTCAAAAATCTGGGACCAGGAATGGCAGATTTTCTGAAAAAAAGGGTGACATTTGTCTTTGAGTACAGTTATTTTTTGTTGTTTGTTTTTTAACGACAGAAGAAATAAAATGCATCCATGTTACGGTATGAGGGTAGATGAGATAGCATAGTGGGTGAAGCATTAGCTTGTATTGCCAAAGGCAGGCGTTTGATTCCTTGAAGTGGTAGAA